AAACTACTGACGCACCATCGCTTCGCTTAGGGTTCGTCCCTAGACAAAAACAAATCTATCCCACGGGAATCGTACATTTTTTCGGGATAAAATTTAACCTATGTGCTATTCCAGACTACTCGTATAATCTCTGTTTCTTTCATCCAGATCCGTTTAGCCCTTCTGGCGTACAAACATTCATCCATCTATATATATCATATTGAAATAAGGGAAAACTCAGAAAACCTGAGACAAGAGAACAATGACAAGGATAGAAGATACATAGGAAGGTGGCGAGCAAGAGGATAACGTGAGGATTCGTATTTACGCATTTTATTAAGTTTATATTATGTACCTTCTATATTAAAAAAAAAACATTAACCTCGTTCATTACATTGGTCGCGTTGGTGCAGCCACGAAACCCACTTTTAATGTGTTCGTTACGGGTTCAATCCTATATACTTACAACAAATGAGAATCATCATTATTCCTGTACCTATTATGCATAGTGCGTAAGCGCTCATTATTTCTCCTATGTGTATATGAGTATATATATATATTTATCTTATATATGTATGTGGTCAGATCTCATATAGTGGTATTGTATAAGTAGATGTTATATATTTTAGTAAAGTAGATGTATGTATATACATAAGTATATTTCTGCTAATGTTTTCTTAAAAACAGAACAGGTAATTTCATGCAATTTTATTTATCGAAGAGAAGGGCAATTAATAAAATGAAAAACCTCATTATCGCCTGACATAAATTTATTTCTCATATACATTATGTATAATTTGCGAATCCACCGTGTCCCGGGACGCAGCGCGGGATAATTCTTTATAAAATAATCATTCTACTTCTAAACACACACCGTCCCGCCTCTATATCGCATTAAAATATATTTAAGCTGGCAACACCGTGCCCACTTCGCAATTCAAAATATACAAAAGGCGGCTACTGGGTTGAGGATAGCAACACTGAATATTCGAAATAAATTACGCATCATCATTGATCTAAAGTACATTGTAATTTTTATATTCCTTTGAATTAACTTGGGTTTGAATACATTAAAATACTAAAAACGTGACCTAAATTAGCACGAATTTAGTAATAAATCAACAATGTGCGGTAGCTCAATGCTCATTCCTTATGGGGAACTAAAATTATTTCGGGAAAAAATCATCATAAAAATTTATTTTATTCAACATTTGATTTAGTGATTTTATGTTTAACATATTATAAAAATACACTTTTACATTTACATCTACAATTGCATTCGACTGTGAATATATTAGTTTACTGTATATATATTCGAATTAATAATTTTGGCTCCCCATTTCAAGACCTTTGTCGTATTTGCTAAAAAATAAAACGTATACAGACTAAAAATACATCTTAAAGTATAAACATATATTAGCAGCAATAGCAAGGGTACGATACAAATTGATTAAGAACACAAGGAAATCATTAAATCAGTCTTTTACATACAAATTAACAAATATCGGAAACAAACGACTCTTCATTGGGGGTAACACATTTTGTACTAAAAAATGGAATTATCTTCAAACAGCACCTTTTTATGGCAAGTCAATCTAGTGTCAATCGTAAAATCAATATCTTGGAGATGAAGTTAATTATTAATAATGCTATTTTGTTATTAAAACTGGATTTTTTATTTAATAAAAATATTATTATAAATTGTGTACTATTTTTTTGTTTTGTAAAAAATGCACTATATTTTTATATTGGTGCTACGATTGACACTTTACAATTGCACTGTTTATGAATACAACTATTTGGTTTAGAAAAAAAAACAACAATGTTCTAATACATTAGTATGGAGAGATCGTTTAAGTATTATGTGCGTACGGAACCTTCAAACTTTAGCTGCCTTTTAAAACAATAAAAAATATACAATTATTGTATGAATAAACATTTGCAAATAAAAGATACCAAGAAAATATTATATTGTAAAAAATTGTCATTTTTAGCTAATCAATATTTAGTCATTTAATTACGTATTTTTTTATATTAAACAAGTATAACGTACTAGCTTGGTTCACTTTCACTGGATTCGATAATACTTTATTATTATCATGAATTTTGACTGAATTTCAACTTGAATGTTAGAATCAATATGAAAATTGAATTAAATCAATATGGCGGCAAAGAAAGAGCTTTATAGGGTAATTTAAAGAACAGTAAAAGCCCCAAAGAAAATGTAATAACGGCTCCCACTCCTAGCGTGCAAGCGACCTGCTACGAGTACATATGCGATTCATCAACGAGTATTAAATTTTCACTATAACCTCAATTTAACAATATTCTCATTAAAATCTACGTACGTTTTCGTATTATTGATATACCTTATGTTTTTATAGCTACCTGAACGATTGGCAGTTGATGTCGACCGTGTTAACCGACCAGATACAGACGTCCGCACGCCATAGACAAAACGAACGAGTTAATGAACTATTTATCATGACAGCCTAATAAGTTATATTCGAAATATCGCCATAATAATCGATACGATTGTACGCCGATATATCGATTTGTATATGGAGACTTATACGATTTTAATAGGATTTATTCATGTTAAGAACGCATATACATATCTAAGTTAAAAGCTCAACTTTAATTTACACATAGATCGATACAAGGTATAAGTTTGTATAAAACGAGTGGAAAACCTAATAATCTTAACGATACTAGGCAAGGGGGTTTACTGTAAAAGGTTTATGCCCGATTTCACCAACGTCACCTAAGTTTAAGGGATCCCCTAAGCATGGTTAGGGGCCTGTTTTAGGGGACAGTTTCTGTTTCACCGACAGTTAGGGGTCACCTAAATATTAAAAGGCCCCCTAAATTTAGGTGCTCGAAATATGGGTTTAAAGACGATCGTAAAACGAAATTTAATTTAGGGGCTAGTTTAGGGAACTTTTAAGCTAGGGATCCCATACGTAGGTGGTAGCTTATGGGTTGTTGGTGAAATCGAGCAATAACGTACTACACTTAAAGATAGCTTAAAATAGTGTGATGAGATGCGACATGAAGGAGATAAAAACCACGTAAAGTAAACACGACGCGAAGAAGCGCGAAATTAATTACATTGCGTAAAACGGGCGTTCGCATTTATGTACCTATACATTAACAGAACGATGTCGTTGTTTTATAGGAAACAAAGACTGTCAACGTCCAAAACAGTCATCTACGTGACTCGTAACTCCACACTAGATATTAAATCGATTTTATAATCGACAAAACCATTCAATTAGCTTTACAATTCGATAGATCGAATCATTACCTTACATTTCATTAAAACATTACAACACACCGACAAAACATTTTTTCTACCTAATAATAGATATGTCATTGTATCACCGTCTTCACTAACGGATGGCAGTGATAAAAAATACGTCCTACATCTATAAACTGAACAAAAAAAAAAACAAAATGGATGACCACCAAAGATTATATCTTGCGAGATAAAGTTCGGAATAATACAAAAATAGAATTATCGCGGAATTTAACATATACCTATAATAAAAATTGGACGATGAAATGAAATACTTGTAGATCGAACAAAATTTAAAGCTATTTACACAAAATTACAATCTACTAACACGACAGAGTTTCACACGACACAGCCGATTCGTCTAAAGAGATGTTTGTTATATTGCATTAATGAAACATGTTACCACAATTTACACTACTTAACGTATTTAACACCCGATATGAAAAATAAACTTCTAATTACAGCTGCAATAACTATTTATACATTTTATAATATATGTATAAGTAATATGTATGTATGTATGTGATCGGTCGTTACATAATGTCGCGTAACTTCTAAGCGCACCGATTTCAATATCTAATTAATTACATTTCGCTAAATCATGGCATAATTTAAATATAATATTTCAAATTTTATATTTAAATGCATCGACAAATTTTATATGTTCTATGTTGTTCATTAGCTCGAACAGACAGTGCGTAATGTTTTTTTTAAACTATTGTTATAGGGTCAGTAATGGGGTCTATAGTCCATAAAGACACCCTTCTCACAATCATGTTATGGTCACATTCGTAAATATACATCATAAGTAACTTTTCGTAGGCACTCATACATTTAGCCTCATAGCAAGTGAACAAAGTGGTTACATCAGTCAGTTCTCTAACATGGCCTCTTGAAATATTTAGAGCCTTGCATTTAATCATATAATAGATTACGTATTAAATTTAACAGATATTTTATTCATTTTCAAATATATTGTAACGCGTGCCGATATTAAAAAAAATGAGTGCGCGTAACCTTTACGCACGGTTAAAGTAAAGCTTCTTTGGCGATGTGGCAGATACCGCAATTATATAAAAACAAATCAAACAAGTTAAAATATAAATATAATAATTTTTATATAATAAATATTAATTTTTATAATTAATAATTATAATAACTAATAGTTATTATAAAAATACAAATTTATAATATATTTTTTTTAATTATTAATAATAAAGACCCTCACTTCCGCGATACATATTTTTCCAATGTATTGACTTACACTTCAGTCACGCCTAAAGAGGTTTTACTTCAAAAAGTTTATAGTTTAAAAAGGCGCATTAGAAACCTCAATTAATACGAATTTCATTAAGAGTACATTGAAATTACCCATATATGAGATATAATGTCGCTACCAATATGGTAATAGAAAGATCATAATTTTAATATCTCAGCGTCTGCTGCGAGCATAGTCCGCCATTAAATTGGCTTTCAAGGATAATCTTTTAAAATTGAAAATTCAGGTGGAATAGATTCATTGCCATATTAAAATATTCCTATAAGTTAGATCAGTAAAATCGTAATTTTATGTTGGTAATATCGGAAAAAATTATGAAAATATTAATTCAAAAGTACGTATAGCGGCACGCGTTTCAAACAACAATGAACAATAGACAATATTAAGGCGTTTACATACTGCAAGGCTCTTAGGGTCGCTTTAAACGAGTACGTCTCAGCGTCAGTTGACGTAGTGATCGAACGAGCCGAGGTATTCCAGCGCAGCGCGGTAGCAGAATTCGTACTGGTCCTGAAACAAACATAACGATTATTATAATTTTTTAAATATAAAATATATATCTGTACTAAATTAGTTAGTTTACATAATACTATCTTAGATTTACGCGAATATTTGACATTGTAAAAAACTATCTTTTCGAAATATTTGGCGGATTTATTTTGATTTTTGGTTCCCGACTATTCGAATGTTTTACAGCAAACATGGTCACGGGAGAGACTAAGGTTTTAGACGTCACAAAGGTATTATATAACTTGCTTGCATTATATAACTGGCTTGTCTGTAACAATTATTGTTATGAAAAGCTAAGCTGATATTATTAAAATGATTATCACTGGCGGATTTAGCTAACTACTTTTTATCCTAAGAAAGGAAAGGGATTTTTTGTGAATTTAACCTATAAGATCGAAGTAGACGGCTTTACCTATTTCACGACATGCACGTTTTTCCTAGTTAATAAAAAGCATATGTGAGAATCGAACCTAAGGTAAATACTATGTTATATTTATATTTCTATATTTATATTATAAAGAGGTAAAGTTTGTGAGTTTGTGAAGTTGTATGGGGTAACCTCTGGATCTACTGAACCGATTTAGATGAAATTTGGTAAAAAGAAATTTTGAGACCCTGTCTTCCGACAAAGAATAGTTTTAATCTCGGAAGTCATCCCTTAAGGGGATGAAAATGGGGATGAAAATTTGTATACAGAAGCAAGCTAGGGACGAACCCGAGCGAATCGAGGATGACTCGCTAGTGTATAATATGTATATTGTTTCGTCAAAACTTGAATAGGCGTAAAATACAGCACACACTATAAATAGGTACAACTTGTAAAAAATACTTCGTAGTGCAACTTTTGATTAAATAATGTAGGAGTCGTACCTACGTCAAAATATATAATATGTATAATAAAATTCTAAATGTATATAACCTGTCCAATATTTCAAAGCTTCAGTTAAAATATATGCTTTTATATAAAACGCTCGAAATTTAGGTAAAGAACTGATGAGTTTCTTGCTGGGTTTTCTCAACAGAAATGCATTCCGAGAAGACAGTAGCTTCCTCACAAACTGGCAACACAGACTCGTATAAATTTAAATTGACAAAGTTTATTTGGGTTTCTCATGTGTATTATTAGAGTCATCCTTAGAACCGCTTAGCAAACTGCGTCGTGAAATATATTTGACTTAGAAACCGGAAGACTCGACTTATAATAAATCTAAGTCAAGTTTCATTAAAATTAGTTACAAAGCCAAGCTTTCACAGTACATTTTTAATTAAACCGAAGGTCATGTTTAAAGACGGTAGCGCTTCCCCTTTTTATTTTATTTAATAACAGTACACTTTCTACACCTTCAAAGAAACTTATGCAACGAGCTTGACGCCGAGTTCATAATTTTATAATGTTTAAATGGCAAAATTTCTCGTCATTTATTTTCTTGCAACCCTCTTGTTGTCAGAGTTATTACTGCACATGCACTGAATGCAAAGGAAATTTAAATGAAAAAGTAAATTTGTCAGGCAGTCATTTAAGGAGATAATAATTTTAACGACTAATTCCATAAATGAAACTGAATTCCACAAAAACTCTTTAAAACTGGGGAAACTAACATTTATGTTGGACATAAACAATGCCATTTAATAGAGTATTCTGTTATATTCACTCGCTATCATCGTACGATCTACCAATTTATAAGGCAGGTTTACACAAACGCGACCTTTACATTGTGAACCAATTCCATTAAAAATAATTACTTAGTCGATACGCAAAATTTACAGCCATCGCCGACGTGGAAAATTCCCCGCGGAAGGTGTATTCAGACCTTTAAAAGTTAATTTAGATTTAGCTACCCATTTTCGCGCTTCGTTTATTGATTAAAAATTGATCAGTATATTTACATAAATATTTTAAATTAGTTATGTGCACTTAATAAGTAGGTACACCCGTAAGTATTCATAATTTATATTAAAATTTTAATAAAAATATTTCGCTATAATATAATAAATAATAATATAATGTATGAATTTTAACCAGATCGCGTTCGGGCTTCATAAAATTTTATCATGATCATAATAAATGAGGTTGATTTAAAAAAAGGTATCTCTAAAAGTGCTGGCTGAACATAGAATATTCATTCAAAAAAAAGTTAGTTGCAAACAACTGACGTAAAATAGGCGAAAATTAAAATTAATTCACTCTAAGTCGTGCCTCGTCGCTAAGCGCATTGAATTTAATTAAAAAGCGCGGTCATTTGAGGAAAGTGCTCAAAAAATGTAGGAATAGAATGTAGGTACGAATTTTAATTTTTTTATGTTCTCATTTTCACCAGACTTTTTTTTTGGAGAGCAAAAACACGTAGATGTTAAGGTTGGAGGGTAAATAAAGTTTTCCAAGAATATAGCCGTAATGAAATACTTGTCATAATTTCCACACGAGTTAATTTACGTATTAAAAAATTAATAACTTACCCACTCGTAGTTTCGTAATTAGCTTTTATCATCATTAATGTAAACATACCTATACAGGTAATATTATGTTACGTGTAATATTGTTACTCGCAATATATAAAATTATAACATACCCTTTGAAATGTCCGTAACAACAATAAAACCTTTGAAACGTCAAAAACCTTTGTCTTTCCCGTCACCATGATTGCTGTATAGCGTTCGAAACGTCGGGAACCAAAAATAAAATAAATCCGTAAAGATAGATACAAATATATCCCACGGAACCGTATATTTTTTCGGAATAAAAAGTAGCCTATGTGTTATTCCAGACTATAATCTATCTCTGTGCCAAAATTCATCCAGTTCCGTTTAGCCGTTCTGGCGTGAAAGAGTAACAAATATCCAAACATACTCACATATACATTTATAATATTAAATAAGAAATAATAATAATGATAATACGGATTGTATTTGATGTAAATCCGTCAAGCCGTTTTAGCGTAAAGGAGTAACAAACACACACATACACAAGATGTAATATACGAGTTTGATTATATTATCGTAACGTCCTACAAAGGAATATACACACGTATGTATACAAACTTTCGCATTTATAATAATATATAATCTCTGTAAATCTATAAGTCTGGTAATGTGATCATATATGAATCTAGTAATTATCGCATGCGATTTAAAGTGCACATTGTACATACATGTTAAATCGTATATTTTTAAATTATATTCTACACGAATAGCGGATAATAATGGCTCCTATGTAAGAAAAACGATGAGAGTAAAAAAAAGTTCTTGAAATTTTCCACATTGTTAAATGGTATAAATATTATGTTAACATAAATATCGGCTACTTCGAGATCATTCTATACCTAAGTATATAATAAAGTTAAATTATATTAAAATCGATCGAATGTAACTAAGCCACGTCGTTTACAACTGTAATTTAGCACCTTGAAGAATGTGGAAAGTTTTCAACGGAAGATGAACTGACTGTACAGTGTTCATTTATTAAGTTAGATTCAGCTACAATATATAACATTTTGTTGGTAACATTGAAAGTTTACCAAATGAAAGGGGCTTTTATAAGGGTTTCGGTTACATATATATATATATATACCTATCTAATTTCAATTTTAGAGACTATCTAGCGCTAGGATATGAAACAACATTGTTAATATAATAAATCATTAAATTCGTTATTGAAGGCTTCCGAATTTTGTTTTTGTATTTATTGTATTATTATCATACTAGCATTGCCCGCGGCTCCGCCCGCGTTCAGATGACCAAAAACTAAATTCTTAGGTGTTACATATTAGTATACTCTTACATTGCAGTTTTTGTATTTTTCCTCAGAAATAAGATATTTTCCCGCGGTAAAAAGTATCCTAGGATCGCGCGCTACATCGCCCGGTTTATATAGCTTGAGCAGGCGGTCGAGCGATGCGGGGCAGAGGGGATGGACTCGCCGTAGGCATCTCAATGCTCGCCAAGCATTAAAAATGTTTCGCTACTAATTACTTCTAACAACGATATCTCAAAAACTATTCATCTGATTGATTTAGTGTAAAGAGCAATTTTAATCTGCATTAAATGACTAAGCTAACTAAAATATTCATTTGGATAAGGATTAATACCGAACTAAAGAAAATAACTTTGAAAATAACGTAATGTTTTTAATTAAAAATGTTAACATAAAAGTGGTTATTGTAAGTCAACCGTAAGAGATAGAGATATGCTATCGCGGACTTTTTTGTAGCATTTTTATAGATTTTGAATTCTCTAGTACATTACTTAACTGTATCTTTGCTAGTTTACGCGGCGTTCGCGTGGAAAGTTCCCATTTGGCGAGATTTTTTGCGACCTCTTCAACATTTGTCGCCGTATTTCAGCTAATTTACATAAAAGCATAATAAATTATATACCTAAACCTTCCTCAAGAATTACTCTTTCTATTGTTGAAAACCGTATAAAAATCCGTTCAGTAGTTTTCGAGTTTATCGCGTACAGACAGACAGGAGGACAGACAGGAGGACAGAAAGACGCGGCCGGGGGACTTATTTTTATAATAAGTATAGATATTCTTATAATATTAAATAAGCAGTTATAAATATACATATATATATATATATATATATATATATATTTATTTATTTGATTCGTGTATCTCAGTAACGGCTGTGACGTTTTGGATCAAATTTTGTTTTTAAATAAGGTTTTGCGTTTTAAGTTTATCCATTTATGTTTTTTCTGAAAAGCGCAATTTTTATATCTTTTCCGAGTGAAGCTCGGTCTCCCAGATACCTACATACTTATGTAATAAAGTGATTAGGTAATAAACTTTGCTTACTTATGTAACTATAAAAATTAAATCGTAAAAAAATGTATTTGTAATATAAGCACTGCGTATTCTAGTAGCTTTGATTTACGAAAGTTGAAATATGTCATCTAAAAAACTATTCAAATTCTTATTACGAGCTTACATAACTTTCGCAAAAGCTTAAAATTATTTCCGTCATCTTTTTGCTTTAGACAGTCGAACATTTTCGTTTCTAAAAACTTTTATGCCCATATTAACAAAAAAAAACTTTACAAGTAAACCTTGAATGAAGTTCTATTTTAAGTCGTGCAGGAGTTCAAATTACACAAAATTGATTTTTTTTCAAAGGGAAAGCTCTAAAATCGACAACATATATTTATTTATTGCTATACGATGTGCAATTATTTGCCCCCAATATTCATGAATATTGATATTTGTATCTACTACTCGATTGTTTGTAAATACAGATGAAATTGGTTCATTTTAAGTTTACAAGTAAATAAAACATGTTACACTGGTTAAGTTAATAATGTAATTTCACATGTAAATTTGCGTATTTGCTTATTTGTACGTTTTATTTTAAACTTCCGACCGAGATCACCGAAAAGTGGTTTGGATAAAACTGCTGTCAACACCAAAGATATATGTACAATGTACATATAAGTTCAATTCCCTCAACAATTTGAATTTTGTTTCGGGCCTACAAAATACAAAACTTTTGACCCAATAGCATTAGAGAGGGCATAGATACGACGATACGAGTATATATGCATGTTTGTCTGAACGCTTGCTAAAATTATTGTTTTACAAATTAATACCTCCAAGTATATTTAAAAGAAATTAATTAAAATTCTAAGAAATCTATTGTTAACTGACACGCCGGCGTGTCCGCGGTCGTGGAGGGATTAATATTATTTTATTTAATTTTATAAAACAATGACACAGTCTATGGTAATGGAGATTTTAATCTCTTTAACAAGAAAGAAGAAGAATATAAGAAAGAAGAATCTTAGTTATCATTACGAATTACCTCAGTTTGCACCATGGCGGGGCGTTGCGTGCGCAGCGTGCGAACAGTCTGGAACACGTCCACCACGCCCTCGTACTGCATGCGCTCGAGCACCGTCGACAGCGTTATGAATACGCCCGTGCGACCGACGCCCGCACTGTATAACAATAATGAATAATAATAATAATGCCCTCCTGACCGATGTCAGCCACCAATCTCACTGAGACTAACCAGATTCGCAGGAGACATTAGCCCGACCCGGGACTCGAACCCAAGACCCCCGGATTAGTAGCCGTACGTGCTAGCGATATACCACCGAGGCAGCAATAATTAATATAAGTTATAATTACATAAAACTGTTAGTGTAAAAGTGGCCTAATTTAAGAAAGAACGCCTCTAGAAAAACAAAAATACATCTAACCCACGGGAACCGTACATTTTTCCGAGATAAAAAGTGGCCTATGTGTTATTCTGATGTATGAGCTATATTATTGTAAAGTTTCATTAAAATCCATTTAGTAGTTTTTGCTTGAAAGAGTAACAAACATCCATACATCTATACATCCAGACATTTATAATATTAGTAGGATTATTTATATATAATTAAAAATATAGAGATTTTAAAGCTCAGTATAAGAGCAAGAGAGTTCTTTAAAATAATAAGATGCAAAACAGCGGATAAAAGTTGGTCCATTAGCTATCACATAAAGGGAAAACTTAATAAGCTTTTTCTGTATGATGAATATACTCGTACGAGTATGACAAGATAAGTAAAAAATATGAACCTATCCTTCAAACGTTTTCTATCTTTTTATACGATGCATGTGACGTTGAAAGATTATAAGCTACTTTTAATAAGATTTTTATTTAAACTAGTTTAAAGTTTTTTTCGTGTGTTTATGATAAGTAAGGTTTAAGTTACTTATTCCGAGTTCAAATTATAAGCCATTTTTTTATACGAGCCAAAGCTATTATGGGTGGTGGATTTCCTAAAAGGTCATTATCAAGAAATAATATTTTCTGTGTGGTGTGATTATATCTGTCATTGTCATACCTGATTTACTTATAGTGCAATATGATGATCACATCAAACATTTAACAGAAAATATCAATAAATAATTTCTTCTTGAAAAAAGAGTTGCACAGACCGAAAAATCACTTCAAAAGAAAATCTTTACAGGTGAAATTTTATGAAGTATGACTTTTTTAATTTTATAGGAGCACCATTTAATAAGCTAAAAATAATAATAATTAAAGCACCACACCAAATAAAAAACATAAAGAGTCTGTAAATTCTGAAGAGCTATTAATAATTGGTATATGTAAAGTTTTTGTTGTTCGTTTATATGTAATTAAATGCTCTTTGTCTTCCAAACAATAGACAAAACAAATCAAAACCGACCTGCAGTGTACAGTGATAGGTCCATCCTGCCCAAACTGCTCCTTTGTTTTGTGAACCTGTCCAAGGAAGTCAATGAACCCGTCGCCGCTCTTCGGCACGCCCTGTTCCGGCCAGTCCGTGAACTGGAACTGGCGGACCGTCCTCGATGCACCGTCGCGGGCGTCTGTCATCTGTATGGGGTGAAATTATTGCTTTTTAACAAATACTTTCTTAAATGTATGCGAATGTTTAACATTTTAAATGAAACTGTTTTCTCGGAATTTATTTGTTTAGATTTTTGGTTCTCGACGTTTCGAATGATTTACAGCAATCATGATCACGAGAGAGTCCCATGGAAGTGAAAAATCGGAAATGATTTTTTTTAAAAGCTTTTTAAATACTTATAATATTACATGGAAATGAAGCGTACAAGTGACTCTTTATGTTGTCATTTTATTTTATAAAAAATTAAACGTATTCGTTAAATATTTATTAAAATATATCCACATTACTTTTATATATAAATGAATTTATAGCAGTAATTGTGTCAAAGTGACATCGACTTATTTATTAAATTTACCTATTCATGAAAAAAAATGTATTGAAATTGGTCCACTCATCCAATAGATAAGTCAAAAAGCGAAAAAAACCTCTCGAATTGTGAATTTCCTTCTGTTTTTTTTTGGATATCGATTAACAAAAATGTATTAGCCGACACGAATCCAATAGAGTGTGGGGAGTGAATCCTTCGAGTTGAACGGGAGTCCTTCGATATAACATTAAAATTAACGCCTATATTTAGACGAAGATCATTAAATACGCCTCGAGCTTCGTGTGTGGGAGTGCATAGAACGAGCTTTGATGGCTTATTTTTGAATCTTCAAAGTCAATCTTTGATATATTGTATGTAACATGTTTAGTGAAATCTGTCTACCTTATTTAAAATAGTGTGGCAAACAGATAAAATTCTAATTTTAGAATTTTAGGGCATTTTCCATGGCTTCTTTTGTATAATAATATTTCTCTCTCTGCATGTCTATATAAATAAATATCATATTATTCCGATTTTCCATTTTCTAGAATAAAAGTTTAAAATAAAGATACTGTACCTTGAATTCCCTCAAGATATACTGAGGCATGTTGTACTCAGCGATGGGATCAACAACGAAACATTGATAGCGGACAGAACGATCCGAAGGCCAATATTGGTGACACTTTTCCTGAAAAACAACATACATATTATGCAAAACATCACCTAAACACAAACATTTAAATAGATTGATTAAAACAGTAACTTACTCTTCCCATTTCCTTTAATTTAGTTAACATAACTATTATAGTAGAGTTATGTTCCCACAGCATTCGCCAGAAATCATCAGTCGTATCGGGCAAAGGTCCCTGAGTGGCGATGTAAGCCGCACGGTATTTATACCCGTCAACAAATGATGCGTTGATATAATCGGATCCATCTCGTGGGGTCAAACAGACTCTGGTCGACTCGTATGGCAAGATATGCACTAGTCTATTCTTATGTTTATTGCACGGCAAGCTAGCGGACACGAAACGGCTAGAATCTGCCTTCATGTTAGCGAGCTTCTTAAATTCCAACTCCATGCCAGTTATGTTCTCGATTGTATCGATACGCATCAGTTTTTGTATGTGGGGGTGTAAATTGCGCGCGGGGACTTCTGTATCGCCGCATATAACGGCTTCGAGCAGAGCATCGTGGATAAAGATATACTGATCTTCGGTCTGTACCATGTAATTACGTTGTGCTCTCAAACAAGTTACGTGACCGTAAATATCTACTGTACGTTCATGTCTGGCTCTTTCTAGCATCGAATCGATTACTATGAAGCAACCAGTTCGTCCAACGCCGGCCGAACAATGTACCACTAGTGGACCAGCATCAGGTGGATTCAACGCGCGAACTCGTCGTAGGAATTGTAAGAACGGAGCAGGATGATCTGGCACTCCATGGTCAGGCCAGGCAGTGAACTGAAGTTGTTTGATCTCACGACGCTCTGCGCCACCATTTCGTGTTACATGGAATGTTCTGATACAATATGTAGCGAGTTCTTGAACTTCTGTGATGGCAACCGTCATCATGCCGTACGACTCGCTTCCCCTACTTGGCCAGTATTGATCACATTTGATACGCGTCCTTTCTTCTAACTTCGTCATCATAACTATTGTAGACGTTCGCAGTTCCCAACACATTCTCCAGAAATCAGCGAACGTTTCCTGCAACGGCCCTTGAGTTGCGACGTAGGCATTATGTTTACGATATCCATCGCAATAGTTGGCATTTATGTAGTCACTTCCTAATATTCCATCAATAGGCTGTAGAATAACACGACTGTGGTCGTACGCTATAACGTTAGCGTAGCGGTTCTTTGGCTTGTTGACTTCCATGTTAGAATGATCCCATGTGAACTGTTGACCAGGTTCTATACTTTCGTATTCTTGAGAAAATTTGAGGTTATCACTTGCTTTTAGCCTGTCTATATGTTCGCCGAGCTCCGATATCGGTATTGGCGGGTGAGAAATCATAGCAGGAGTTTGGAAGTTCAAACGTCGCATTTCTACCGGATCAGAGGGTGCTCCAAAACCAATATCAGCCGACATAAGAGGACGTGTGACTGCTGCTTGATCAGGAGTTTTGCAAGGTTGTCTTCTTCTTTTGACGATGAATAGAAATACAAAGCATAAAGAAAGCATCAATGCCGCTATGATAGGTCCAACAACCCATAGCATACCAGCCTCTTTTCTGTTTTCTTCTATCCTGATTTCGGGATCTCCATTAATATCTTTAGGGTCAGGTCTACTAGGCTCTTCACCTGGTGGGGCTTCTCGCATATCTAACGACAAATATTCCGAAAAGGGACTCGATGTATATAAATGCTTTTGAGGAGTATCCACGACGGCTCTTACAAACACTCTATACTTTTTATTCAGATTTAATTTTCTGTTGAGAAAACCTTCATACATTTCATCGTTACCAAGATGAAACGTGTAAAGAATATTTCTTTGTAAAAACTTAGCAGCTATGTATGGCGCATTTTCGTCATCTGTTCGAGCGTTATTTTTTATTAAATCATCTGTCAAAAACTGGTCGGGGTTTTTATGATTATGTGCTTTGTCATCAGGAACTACAACTAGATAATAATGTGAAATAGGTCCATATTCTTCGGAAGCTTGAGGTAGTATAACGAGTATTTCATTTTCAACAACACCGTAAAAGTCCGGTTTAACCATCGGCTTAGGAGCAGCCATTTGGGTGGTTACAAAAATCGTAGTAGGCGGTCTATAGGAATTATCATTAGGTATGGCACTTATATTAACATTATACGTAGTGAAAGGAGATAAATCATTTATAGAATATGAATTTCTATCGTGTTTAACTATTATTTCTTTTTTAGGAATTTCTTGAGTTTGCGTCATTCCGAGTGAATCGACGAATTCTTTAATGGCATTGTACGATATCTTATAGCTAACTGGGTTTAAGCGTAACGGGGGAGACCATGACAGGGTCATGGAGTGGGTGGATACATCTTGAGCTCTAAGATGTAAAGGCACTTCTTCGGGCTTTACTTTAACAGTAACCTTTTCTGATAGCCTTCCTAATCCTTCGGCTGTTTTAGCTGCCACGGCAATAGTGTATTCCGCGAATTTATCTAAATTTTCTAAGTTTGCAGAATGTGTTACGTGAACGTTAATTTGCTGCCATTCGTCCAAATCGTCTACAGGAGTCATTGTATAAAATATAACGTAACCTATTATCTTTTTCCTTGATGGCACTGTTTCCCACCATACTTCTACCCCTGATTCCGATGTAGCGACAGCTTTCACTGACATGGGAGCTCGACCAATATCCCTTTCTGTGTGAGCGGTTATATCCTTGCTGTATGGGCCCGGCCCTTGATCTGTATAAGCCCGAATTTTGAACACATAATGAGCATCTTCTTCTAAGCCAGTGAACACTGCTTTTGTCAACTCTGTAGTTTTATCAATGTGAGAAGATTGGTCTCCTCTTTTGAAAAATTGGACGTCATATTTCTTAATCTGACCGCTGCGATCGGCTCGTACGGGAGGCTCCCAAGTGACACTGATAATGTCAGGTGTTTGGAAGTGATATGTAACATTTGTAGGTGGGCCTTTTGGAGCTCCTTCGGGTGTTATCCAATATTTAATGGCTTCTTGCCCAATGCCTATCTGATTTCTCCCAGCCACACGAGCTTCATATTGTACGCCTCTCTCTAAGTCATTAATTTTATGCGAGGTAACTTTTGTTCCAGAAAAATTAACTTCTTCTAGGGGTTGATCTTTAATACCATATCTCAACCTATATCCAAGTAAGTCGCCATAAGTTTGAGTTGGTTTTGCCCATTCAATTTCTATTGATACAATGGGATCGCGTTCCAAGATTCTGAAAGAAATTGAATTATTTAATAATTAATAAAAATATAAAAAGGTATAATATATACATCATACATGTTTATACCATATGCTAATAGTTTTAACGCTTAGTATCGAAAGAATTTATTATCAATTTTTACTCGTGAATTTTTCCGATCTTTTAATAGTTATTCTGCTATTCGGGATGAAGACAAATTCCACAAAACAAAGATCATAAAAATTGGTCCAGCAGTTTTCGAGTATATAATAAGTGTTGTAACAAACCCGACTTTGTTTTATATACATAGATGTCAATATACAATATGTCATCGACAAGTAAAATTTGAAAAAGTTCAAACAATGAAAAACTTACTTCAAATTTACAGTTGGTCTATTCGGCACGCCACCGGGCGTTTTTACAGAAACTGGAGGGCTTCTATCTCCATCGCCCTTTCTCGTGAGAGCCGCTACTTGAACACTGTACCGGGTGTCCGGTTGAAGTCCGGACACATTCAACTCGAGTGTCGTATCGTCCATCACGTTGAAACGCATTGGATCGTTAAGTAGACCCTTACCCTGATAATAATTTGTGTGTAAAGTGATAGTTTCAAGAGTATTTATACAGAATTATTTAAGCAACTAAAGTGGTAGATAATGACTTGTATTAATATTTGATGTAAATTATACCCTTTATGGAAATAGATATTTCTACAGAACTACACTAATATAAAAAAAAACAAATAAACCATGTATCAAATATTTTTTACATATGTATTTTCATGTTTATGTAAATAAGTAATTAAGTTCTTTATAATTATGTAAATTATTTTTTATTTTATTTCGTACCTCTTCCCTGAGTTCTTGGACATGAACGTGATAGCCTCTAATAATTCCATTTTTCTCTTTTTCTTGAGGCGGTTTCCACGTGACATGAATTGACGTCGAGTTGATGGCGGTCACCTTCACCTCTTGGGGCTCGCCCGGCACTGTATATACATAATAAAAGTTAGAAAATCTGGGCCGAACCTATTCGCGCATGGACCTAAATGCCCTATCAGCATCTAAGGGAGCGTGCTAAAAATCTACCTTAAGCTTAACGTTTAAAGGGCTAAGTTTGGAAGCTTTGAAGGCTTATCGGTAAGCATTGCAAAATTGTTTTAAAAAACGTTCCAGGTGCGGTCGGTAGTCCCCGTCGGTTGCTGATAGAGTATTTTGGTCGCGACGTAGAACGCCGCTCAGCATCTCGATCGGGCATTTGAATACCAACACACACTGATCAAATTAACTTTTACGCCCTTTCACATCACCATAACCAATTAAAATCCATTACCTTCCAATCCACATCAGTAAAGATCAACTAAAATCGTTAAGCGTTATAAAGAGTTAACATTTAGTAAGTTATCTATATACAATATCCAAAAGCAGCATGTCTATATCTAAACATATAGATATTATCAGGTTCACATTCTGCAAGGGATCACACATAAAGAATAAGACTTGGTGTCACACGTCATTAGTAAAGGAACACACCAAATCTTTGAAAAAAATAAAGAAAGACACAAGAACATGCGTCTTTAGGGTTTCAACCGCTTGCAGTTTGTCATTAAGAGGTTATTAGATCATTGTGCTAGGAAGAACAAACTACTTAAAGCATAGGCACAAGCACAAACGCACATAAATATAAGCACTATAGTAAATTATACTCACTCTTTATAGCTGTACGGGTTACCAGCAGCCCATACAAAGTCAGTGACGAGAGAAAAAAGAGAAAAACGCATTCAAATACATTTAAGACAAATTGTGCGAACATTGCAGGGCGAACGGAACTACTAAGTGAGAGATTACGAGTAGAACGCTTGTCGGCAAATAGGGGGTACTCTTATTTCACATCCTCGTGTATTTTGAGCTCTTTTGGAGGCGCATTTAGGTTAAGCCGCTTGGGACGTCGACGCCAGTCGTATGCATCGCCTTTTTCTGCTCACGTATACAAATGGCAATATAATTTAAATTTCGCGTGGGATGAAAAGATCGTGCAACTTGAGAATAATGAACATTTTAAATTATGGGTAATATTTAATTTCTTGTGATTTTTAGTGAACAGTAGAAGGCCACGCACGTAGAGACCGTTTGTAACAGTCCCTTGGCGCAGGCGGTTCACTCACACGCACATGTATTGATTAAGGCGACGGCGCCGGTCTGTGTATGTGTGCTTCATCAGTGTGGTCTTGTTTCATAGAGCGCCACTTGCTTCTGTATGTGTCCATTGTACCTTGTGTTGCTATCCACAATGATGTCTGTGAAGGTGTCAGTGTCATTGTCCGGTGGCTGTATATCTTCTAAAACTGTTCAGTATAAAATCAGAGATTAATGTATTGATCTCTAGCCGAACTGTATTGTAGCGTTCCCTTCCGTTCATTACTCGACAACGGCAATAGCGTACGTTAGGCGTATTCTGTATGTCACAATATATTCTAGTGTGCATGCACGACGATAGTTTGACAGAGTAAACAGAAGAGAAGGAAGAGAGAAACGTCTACTGGCGAGAAGTTGTAGCGTAAGAGTAAGTGAGATAGATAGATAGATAGAGGGATAGAGTAGAAATAGCGCGTAGTCTAGTCTGAGCTGAGCAGTTGGGGATTATATGCGAATTTGCGGAACTGATCCCTTGGATACTTTTTGGGTGTGACCAAGATATGTAAATTATTTAAGATCCTCAGGATCAAAGTCAGTTTTATCCGCTTTTTTACCGCTAAGAGTAAAGTTATATAGGTTTGAGTACAGAATAGTTGTGAGTAGTATAGTAGCATGCGCGCGTGTCGTGTGGGACGGTATTGGTATTCAAATGCGGCGCTCGGGCCGTGGTGCGTGTCGGGCTGAATGACCAGGTTTTTTGAGCAACAGAATATAACTTTGCGATGTAAAGGCCGTATAATTGGAGGAATTATGCAAAAGGGAATTTAAAATTGGACCGGCCTTTTGAATTGCATGAGGTCGGCGGCTAGGAAGACAAATGTAAACTAAGGGGCTCTTTGTTATCTAAATTTCTAGTTAACCACGACGGCTTTTACATTGCAACGTTTGTGGGTTTTAGTTGATTGGTCATTTCTTGTATGCCACGCACTCGCTCTCTCACCTTGTGTCGTCGCTAGTTGTGCTGAGTGCTCCTAAAAGTGCTATTCTTGTTTCACACAATATAATTATCTCTATATATGTATTTAAATAAGTCAAAATTGTGTTCCACAAGATAAACCTATCAGGTGCCCAGTGAAATTAACTGAACGAAAAACAGTGCTGTGTCGTTAAAGAAAGCATGCAAAATTGTGTATATTGCTAAATACTTAACAACTGTGCGTCAAAATTAATATATAAACGGTGCCGTCGACACTATACCAGGTGCAATATATGTAACTTTGCATTTCAGTGAGTGCCATCTTTAGCAATAAATGACGTATCAAGACGATGCGTCATCAAATAAAAATCATTACATGTGACAAGTGAGTGGAAATATAGTGTATGTCGTTTTCAACGACATATACAGTAAACCAAATGACTGATATGACATAATTATAATACATTTAAATTCATCGGCAAGCATATTAAAAGTTGGTTACGAGAATTAACCTCCTTGCATAGAATCCTGCTATATGCTCATAAGGAAGAAACAAAAGAAAAAATGATATTAGTAACGTTTGTATTAGCATCTATTCAGATATACAAGTACGGATTTATTTATTTGCGTAACAGTAATTCATTAAAAGGGTCCCACCACCAATTTAGAATGAACAAACATTTGCATATCAAGATTATTGCGGCTGGAACGGAAATAATTTGCAACTATTTTGAGGTGCGAAATTGCTTACAATTATTTAGGTAAATTCATTAAGCGCGCTAAATTATATCCATTCTGCCAGAGTTGAACAAATCACGTCTACAAAACCGTCCATTACTGAGTATGTATGTACATATTATGTATATAATTATTATCTTGATAAAAATAAAAATTAAATTCAATATGGACGATTTTATATAATATAATATTTTACCCTCCACAGCGATCACCTTAACATAACAATTGATTCATTAAAATGAGAAATACTTCATGATATTAATATCAAGAATAAACGAACTGTCAGAGGATTGGCGTCGCGACTGTAGTTGTTTCACGGAGATAAGTACTCAGCGTTCGCCACACGACAATCCCCTGGCATTCAATGTTAAGAATTATTATTATTGTTGGGTTAGTTTTAATAACTCAATTTTATGTAGCGAAATAGAAGAATTAAAAAGAAAGTTAAAAACAATTCTCTTAATTATATTGTTTTGTCAATTACTTTAAAATTCGAATGATATATATCTTTAATTAATAATACAATAAAATTGAGTCTTTATATAGTGAATGAAATGTATCGAAACGTACCGTCTTCGTGTGTGCGGACTGTGACGGGGTAGGAGGCGGGACCGTCCCCGACGCTGGTGCCTGCTAGTACCCATATGCGGTACTCGGTCCATCGCCGTAGCTCGTCGAGCACGAAGGTGGTCTGGTTGAGTTTGACCACTGTGGCCTCGGAATCCCCCCGCCCCGACTCGACGCAAAGTAGTTTGTAGTAGGCGATCCTCCCTCCCGCCTGCTCCGCCGGTGGAGGCTGCCACGATACCCGTATAGCCGTCGGCGACACAGCCACAGCCGTCACATTCATCGGTGGTGCTCCGGGAACTAAACAAGCTCAATTCGTAAAACACCAAACATCGACCGCCCCAATCGAACTTATGTAGGCTCGATACAAAAACACCTGATCCCAAAATCCTGAATCACGTCAAGGAACCTATCGATGGAATCACTGAATGCCGTTTGATAAAAAAAGGAAAATGTGCCCAGAAATCAAAATAAACGATGAAAAACGTCAAAATAATATAAGCATGCACAATTTTGTATGTAGAATCCGCTCGCCCATACATCTCTCTATGTGTCATACGCTTACTCCTGTCGGAAGAAAATTATGATCATTAAGGTCTATTACGGTACGAACAACATTTGCGCGTTTACTTTCGCATTCTTTTATTCGAATGGACAAAGCCTGCGTAATTTTCTCATGTTGTTCGTGTCGCGTTAGTATAAAAAGTTAAAATAAAATGTCAACCGAGGCGACGCCCCGTCGGATATAAAACATACCAACGACATAAAGCTACTAGTACAGGTATATTGGTACAGTGTACGCATTCGACGCGCGAGCTATGAATGTTTAAATGGGTGTATTCGATGCGTGCACGTTACCGATCGACGAGTTTACAATTACAAAACACATATTATTGTGATATAAAACTTGGTGCTTGTGCTGTATATTACTGGCAGCGTGCCGGGCAGGTGCTCTTATGTGAAATATTACATTACGAATTACCTGGAAAACCCAGAATTGACTCATACATTACTCTCTTACTCCTCAACGCTTTAATCGGGAGAGGAGCTTATTATATTAAACGATTGTTAAACTAACCGTTTAACGGACTGTTAAATGGTTAGTTTTATTCCCATTAGTTAAAATGATGATGATGGTTAAAGGGTTAAAATGCATGAGATCCAAATAATAGGTTCTCCCTCCCGATTACTACAGCACTCTCACAAGACATTCACACGTTATCACTCCATTCCAATACTGAGATCAGTTCAGTATTGAACTAGCGAGGTTCAAACATACCGTATTGTTTCGTTCGGACCGCTATAGGCGGGGTGGTTGCTCCTTCGCCGCGTTGAGATCGAGCCGCTAGCCAGATGTAGTACAGGGTGTTCGGGTACAATCCGTTCAATGTGTACGTCTCCGTTATTGGTATCCGTCTGTATGAGTGGGAAGATACTACGATGTTACTAAAGTTTATGTAACGATGCAATTTTACTTCAATTCTATATGTAATATTTAAATAAAATATATTTAAGTAATATTATGAAATATGTATATCTAGTCTTGTCTAGAGCAAGCATTTTACGTCTTATATATTTTTTGATATTCATATTTAAGCACACTCGTACATCTATTTCACATTTATCTTATAAGAACTGATTTTGTAGATACAATAAATAAGTTACATTATTTAAGTTACATTATTTAAGTCACTGGATGTTATCAAGCGATTGGTAAATAATTGTAGCGTTGGCGGACTTGGCGTTATAATTCCGATAAAGAAAATTAAAGTGAAAGCTTTAAAGAGACGATGAATTAATTTTGGAGCTGTCTAGTTAAGTGAAATAAATACTATAGTCATAATTATAGAAAAATCTTTTGGGTGTTATTTTATTTGAAAATCCCTGACATTTATTTGACCCAGATTGTTAATGAAACACAAATTCAGCAATGAAATTTAAAACGTTTTTAACGTAAATATCCCGTGTAATGTAAGAAAAACTTTGCGCACATCATTTAATTTTTCCTCATCTGAAAATTAAAGCTTTAAAATATGCCCGTTTTTGAAGGGAAATATTTAAGGTTTCGCTGACTTTATTATTAGTAGGTTACTTGGTTTAAGATTCAATATGTAGCCATTTACTGAAGTAAGACTTCTTGGTTTGTGGAACATTAATTTTTACAAATTATTTGCACGATATTACCTTTGGCTCAAAAGGGACGGCTTAGCTATTAAAACTGTTTCAATTTGTACTTTTCATTAAGATGACAGGCAATAAAAGAAAAAAAATATATAAGGAAAGATAAGAGGTAGGTAAAAGTATGAAATTTTCTCACTTTCTGTGATGTTGTTTCGCATAAGTATCGTTCCAGTATAGCTCGTAAGAGACGATGTTATCTCCGGCGTGTGTGGGCCTCCTCCATGATAGGGTGACTGATGTTTCTCCTGCTTCGACAGCTACTAAGTTTGATGGTTGAGATGGAACCCCTGTACGTAAAATATATACAGATTGAACATTATTATATGAGATATATTTTATGGTATAAATTATATTTAATACTAGAGATTGATTCCCCATATAAACTTTCATCCCCATTTTCAACCCCTTAGGGGATGATTTCCGGAATAAAAAATATGCTATGTCCTTCTCAGGGTCTCAAACTGTCTTCATTTAAATCGGTACAGTCGTTTTTGAGTTCATTCATTACAAACATCGAAAAATGCGAATCAGACTTTCCTCTATATTTTTTTATATACAAACGAGCGGACCTGAAAAAGACAGCGTGAAAGGCAATATGTACCTATATCACTATTGTAGTAACGGTCGTTGTGAATCTTAGTATGCGTATTGCTCGAACACATATGCAATGTAAAATAAAGTTTTCAGATTTTTTTGCATTTAGAATTAAGAAAATACATTTTAAATTATAGCATAATAATTGAAACAGATTGTACCTGATAGTTAAGTAAGAATTGGAAATCACTACAATACGTCTGTATTTTTACCCGACTGCGCAACAACAATGTATGTAAGGTGTGTTAAGATAGCAGTGAAAGGTTAGCAGAATCGTTCGAAACATATACGGTATTTTGTGGCTAATTTGTTGCTAATTAGTTGCTAAAACCCCGATTTTGTTGCTTTGTCCGATTTCGAAAAAAAGGAGTTACTGCTATCTTAACGTTAAGCTAGCAGTAAACTCAGCGGGACCGGCATGGATTAAATGCAATTATACATCAGTATTTGTTGCTAATTTGTTGCTGACAAATAGTGTAAAAAATTTAAAGAAAACCCTAGAATTGGCTAGACCTGGAGACCTGTAGCCGTATCCATGCTATCTTAACATGCAGTTTTTTTAACAAGACGATGGCATGGATTTTGTTGCTGGACGCAAATAACATCAGGACACCCCAGAGAGCCAGCAACAAAATAGAAACTAAAATTCTGCTACACCTGGAGACCTGTAGCCATGTCCATGCTAACTTAACATGCACTTTTTTAACAAGAAGGCGGCATGGATTTTGTTGCTCATCGTAAATAACACTAGGACACCCCAGAGAGCCAGCAACAAAATAGAAACTAAAAATCTGCTACACCTGGAAACCTGTAGTCGACTACAAGTGTTCATGCTAACTTAGCGTGCAATTTTTAACAAGACAGTAGCATGGATTTTGTTGCTCATCGTAAATAGCACCAGGACACCCCAGAGAGCCAGCAACAAAATAGAAACTAAATTTCTGCTACACCTGGAGACCTGTAGCCATGTCCATGCTAACTTAACATGCAGTTTTTTTAAGAAAACCATGACATGGATTTTGTTGCTCATCGTAAATAACACCAGGACACCCCAGAGAGCCAGCAACAAAATAGAAACTAAAAATCTGCTACACCTGGAGACCTGTAGCCGTGATCATGCTATCTTAACATGCCCTTTTTTATGAAAACGATGACATAGATTTTGTTGCTGGACGTAAATAACATCAGGACACCCCAGAGAGCCAGCAACAAAATAGAAACTAAAAATCTGCTACACCTGGAGACCTGTAGCCGTATCCATGCTATCTTAACATGCAGTTTTTAAAAAAAACATGACATGGATTTTGTTGCTCATCGTAAATAACACCAGAACGCCCCAGAGAGCCAGCAACAAAAAAGAAACTGAAAATCTGCTACACCTGGAGACCTGTAGCCGTGTTCATGCTATCTTAACATGTACATTTTTTATGAAAACGATGACATAGATTTTGTTGCTGGACGCAAATTACATCAGGACACCCCAGAGAGCCAGCAACAAAATATAAACTAAAATTCTGCTACACCTGGAGACCTGTAGCTTACTACAAGTGTCCCTGCTATATTAACATGCACTTTTTTTAAAAAGAGAGTGGCATGGATTTTGTTGCTATTTACAAATAACATCAGAACACCCCAGAGAGCCAGCAACAAAATAGAAATTAAAAATCTGCTACATCTGGAGACCTGTAGCTTACTACAAGTGTCCCTGCTACCTTAAAATGCACTTTTTTTAAAAAGACGGTGGCATGGATTTTGTTGCTGGACGCAAATAACATCAGGACACCCCAGAGAGCCAGCAACAAAATAGAAAATAAAATTCTGCTACACCTGGAGACCTGTAGCGGTATCCATGCTATCTTAACATGTACATTTTTTATGAAAACGATGACATGGATTTTGTTGCTATTTACAAATAACATCAGGACACCCCAGAGAGCCAGCAACAAAATAGAAACTAAAAATCTGCTACACCTGGAAACCTGTAGTCGACTACACGTGTTCATGCTAACTTAGCGTGCACTTTTTTTAACAAGACGGTAGCATGGATTTTGTTGCTCATCGTAAATAGCACCAGGACACCCCAGAGAGCCAGCAACAAAATAAAAACTAAAATTCTGCTACACCTGGAGACCTGTAGCCGTGTTCATGCTATCTTAACATGTACATTTTTTATGAAAACAAAATCCATGCCATGGTTTCCTTAAAAAAACTGCATGTTAAGTTAGCATGGACATGGCTACAGGTCTCCAGGTGTAGCAGAATTTTAGTTTTTATTTTGTTGCTGGCTCTCTGGGGTGTCCTGATGTTATTTGCGTCCAGCAACAAAATCCATGCCACCGTCTTTTTAAAAAAAGTGCATTTTAAGGTAGCAGGGACACTTGTATTAAGCTACAGGTCTCCAGGTGTAGCAGATTTTTAATTTCTATTTTGTTGCTGGCTCTCTGGGGTGTCCTGATGTTATTTGTAAATAGCAAGAAAATCCATGCCACTGTCTTTTTAAAAAAAAGTGCATGTTAATGTAGCAGGGACACTTGTAGTAAGCTACAGGTCTCCAGGTGTAGCAGATTTTTAATTTCTATTTTGTTGCTGACTCTCTGGGGTGTCCTGATGTTGTTTGCGTCCAGCAACAAAATCTATGTCATCGTTTTCATAAAAAAGGGCATGTTAAGATAGCATGATCACAGCTACAGGTCTCCAGGTGTAGCAGATTTTTAGTTTCTATTTTGTTGCTGGCTCTCTGGGGTGTTCTGGTGTTATTTACGATGAGCAACAAAATCCATGCCGCCGTCTTGTTAAAAAAAGTGCATGTTAAGGTAGCATGGACATGGCTACAGGTCTCCAGGTGTAGCAGAATTTTAGTTTCTTTTTTTTTTGCTGGCTTTCTGGGGTGTCCTGATTTTATTTGTAAATAGCAACAAAATCCATGTCATCGTTTTCATAAAAAATTTACATGTTAAGATAGCATGGATACCGCTATAGGTCTCCAGGTGTAGCAGAATTTTATTTTCTATTTTGTTGCTGGCTCTCTGGGGTGTCCTGATGTTATTTGTAAATAGCAACAAAATCCATGCCACTGTCTTTTTAAAAAAAGTGCATGTTTATATAGCAGGGACACTTGTAGTAAGCTACAGGTCTCCAGATGTAGCAGAATTTTAGTTTATATTTTGTTGCTGGCTCTCTGGGGTGTCCTGATGTAATTTGCGTCCAGCAACAAAATCTATGTCATCGTTTTCATAAAAAATGTACATGTTTAGATAGCATGAACACGGCTACAGGTCTTCAGGTGTAGCAGATTTTCAGTTTCTTTTTTGTTGCTGGCTCTCTGGGGCGTTCTGGTGTTATTTACGATGAGCAACAAAATCCATGTCATGTTTTTTTTTAAACTGCATGTTAAGATAGCATGGATACGGCTACAGGTCTCCAGGTGTAGCAGATTTTTAGTTTCTATTTTGTTGCTGGCTCTCTGGGGTGTCCTGATGTTTTTTACGTCCAGCAACAAAATCTATGTCATCGTTTTCATAAAAAAGGGCACGTTAAGATAGCATGATCACGGCTACAGGTCTCCAGGTGTAGCAGATTTTTAGTTTCTATTTTGTTGCTGGCTCTCTGGGGTGTCCTGGTGTTATTTACGATGAGCAACAAAATCCATGTCATGGTTTTCTTAAAAAAACTGCATGTTAAGTTAGCATGGACATGGCTACAGGTCTCCAGGTGTAGCAGATTTTTAGTTTCTATTTTGTTGCTGGCTCTCTGGGGTGTCCTGATGTTTTTTACGTCCAGCAACAAAATCTATGTCATCGTTTTCATAAAAAAGGGCACGTTAAGATAGCATGATCACGGCTACAGGTCTCCAGGTGTAGCAGATTTTTAGTTTCTATTTTGTTGCTGGCTCTCTGGGGTGTCCTGGTGTTATTTACGATGAGCAACAAAATCCATGTCATGGTTTTCTTAAAAAAACTGCATGTTAAGTTAGCATGGACATGGCTACAGGTCTCCAGGTGTAGCAGAATTTTAGTTTCTATTTTGTTGCTGGCTCTCTGGGGTGTCCTGGTGCTATTTACGATGAGCAACAAAATCCATGCTACTGTCTTGTTAAAAAAAGTGCACTTTTAGTTAGCATGAACACTTGTAGTCGACTACAGGTTTCCAGGTGTAGCAGATTTTTAGTTTCTATTTTGTTGCTGGCTCTCTGGGGTGTCCTGGTGCTATTTACGATGAGCAACAAAATCCATGCCGCCTTCTTGTTAAAAAAAGTGCATGTTAAGGTAGCATGGACATGGCTACAGGTCTCCAGGTGTAGCAGAATTTTAGTTTCTATTTTGTTGCTGGCTCTCTGGGGTTTCCTGATGTTATTTGCGTCCAGCAACAAAATCCATGCCATCGTCTTGTTAAAAAAACTGCATGTTAAGATAGCATGGATACGGCTACAGGTCTCCAGGTCTAGCCAATTCTAGGGTTTTTTTAAACATTTTTACACTATTTGTCAGCAACAAATTAGCAACAAATACTGATGTATAATTGCATTTAATCCATGCCGGTCCCGCTGAGTTTACTGCTAGCTTAACGTTAAGATAGCAGTAACTCCTTTTTTTCGAAATCGGACAAAGCAACAAAATCGGGGTTCTAGCAACTAATTAGCAACAAATTAGCCACAAAATACCGTATATGTTTCGAACGATTCTGCTAACCTTTCACTGCTATCTTAACACACCTATGTATGTATGTTTCTTCCTAGGTGGCGTTCTAGAGACTATACGCGTAGACCGATTTTGATGATTCATACGTCGTTAGATTCTTTTTGATAACGCGAGTGTCATAGGCTATATAAAAATAGTGAAAGTGAAGTAAAATGGGAAAGAAGAATTTGCCTTTTTCTCTTAACAGATGTCGCGATCACTATAATGATCCTCCGTATATTGTAAAGCTCTATAGCGTGGATGGATTTTTTTACATTTTATTTAAAATTTAATTAAAATGACACATTGTGCAATACCAGGATGCATAGAAAATAGATAAAACAGAAGGAATAAAGTATTATGCTGTCGAAGATGAAGAATACATATGTGCATACATCTTGCGGCAACGATAAAACGTTTTTTTATTAGTTAGCTTTTATATTTATTATTCTCTGAAAGTAGTCTTATTTATGTATAATTGTTTCGAACCTAAAAGTCGTAGAATGATGTTAGATAGCCTATAAAAACCTGAAAAAATCTGAATAAATTGGGCTATCAAATGAAATATAGATTTTTCAAATCTGACATCTGGGATCATCATCACAATCTGGTAGTTTCAGAGATTAACTCATTAATACAAAAAAAACAAACAAATTGTTTAGTTAAATTTTATTAATAAATTACTAATCAATGTATTTGTTAAAATAGAATTTCTATGAATATCTAAAATCAACACAATAATGTTTATATTGACAGCTTTTCATTAAACTTTATTAATAAATTTTCTGGTGCCGTTCCTTAATTTTATATAATAATATTATTTAGTAGAGTTTGACTTCTACTGTCGCGGGTTTATAATAATATAAATAAAAGATAAATTTTCGAGTATAAATTAGAAAGAAGAATTTTTGAAATATAAAAAAAAACTATTATTTGTTACAATTACAATACCGTACGTCCAACCATTATAATATTACCTAGTGCCGAACAATTCTAGACTAAATATGTTTATATATTTGAATCCATACTCCTTTTTTTTTAGTTTAAGCCTACAGGAGCGAACTTTTTACTAGGTTTATGGACGACGACGACTATTGGACGAATTCGAACCCAAAACCTCAACATTTACAGCCGGATAAACAAGACAGTTTGCCTGTTACAGTATGTAAAATAACAACATGATTCTTGAACTAGATTAAAGCAGTTGATAAAATATTTGTGTGTCTGACGTTAATGCTTGCACGCGTTAGTTTACACTGTATAGTGTATATATTGATTTGATTTGTTACTTTAGCGATTGCTTGAATACTTGTCGTATGCCATTGATTGTCTTGTCCACTTACGCATTCATGTACATTGTACACACAGTGTTTATCAGTAACACGTGACAATATTAAACTTTAATTAGCATAACGGTTTGAAATATTTTCTTTCATTCAATTTTATTTCATAAATATCTATCAAGTTGAGGTTAACTCAAGTATAAAAATGTTGCGAAAATACGAGTATATATTTTTCAGTATTATATGGTTTGGCTTAGAGAAACTGGCGTGACGAATATATGTACATACATTCATTGTACCTAACAGTTGTTTCTTAGAGCAACTAAAAACATAAGACTCGACTAATGTTAAAAAGTTAGTGTACAGTGTAAAGCGTACAAACTAATAAATCCCAAATTATGTATATAATACTCATATTACGTTATATTACGTTAAAGATCTTCACAGGAAAGAGGTATTTTAACACACAAATACATCAACAAACATACGCATAATTCTGTACGTCTATATAAATATAATATTATTTACTGCACTTAAATAACTTAGTTGGATCAGATCCAGCCTCTGGGAACATTTGTGTACATATGTTCAGGTAATGAAGTTAGTCTTCTATGCAAACCTTGTTGCGTCTTAGCCTACGTATCGTGTAAGTGAGGGTTAACTCGGCGATCGGAGAAACTCGTAGTTTACATCTTCTATCCATCTATGCTTATTTTATTAGACCTAGTATGCTACTTCCTTAAATATATTGCCCCAATGAAGTTATATACCCGTATAACAAAAAAAAATATGTCATACGATTTGATCTTTTCATTACATATTCTGAAAGTAGACCGTGTGCCTGATAAATTTATATCCATAATATATTTATGAGAGAAGAAAAAAAACTTTAATTAATGCTACTTGTGAGACGCCAGACTTTGGTCTAACTGGTATCTGGTCTAACATTTCGTGTACGATACATTTTCAGTAATAACTAATATTTCAACTTTCTTTATATTATAGAGCATAGGACGGTAGCACTGTAATTTTTAAATAATTTTATAAATATTGTGAAGTAACATAAGAACATTAAAATAAAATAAAAAAAAAGAAAGTGCTTCTTATATGTGCTGTATATAAAAGAAGTGTGACAGAAAACTCTCATTTTGAACGAAAATCCCAGTTAGACCAACGATTGGCATCTCACAAGTAGTATTAATTGTAGTTTTTTTCTTTAATAAATATGTTTGTTTATCACAGTAGGTATATTTTCAGAATATGAAAAGAAAATATTAAATCGTATATCATTTTTTTTTCGTTATTGGGAGGCAGAAATGAGGCCTGATCGATACCCTTGCTGTACTTTCTTTCGACATTTACTTTACTAAGGAAATTATAAAATTTTCCTTACTCATATCATAAATAAGAGATAGTTACCACACTATTTGATTTAGTTTACATTTATGCCAATGTATAGTGGTTCCTGTGGGAAATTATGCTTCTGGCAAAAAGTTACACAATATGTCACTAGTCATGAAAAACTAATTGTTGGAACAATTAAAATTTCGTAGGTACTTATTTTATAAATAAATATTTATACCTCACTCAAACCAAACTTTTGAAAAGTACGAGTATGCACATTTATATATTTAAAGTCATTATATTAATATAATATTATAGAGGGGTAAAGTTTGTGAGTTTGTGAGTTTGTAACGTTGTAGGGGATGATCTCTGGATTTACTGAACCGATTTAGATGAATTTGGTAAAAACACAGTTTGAGACCCTGGGAAGGACATAGGATACATCTTATCCCGGAAATCATCCCTTAAGGGGGTGAAAATTGGGATGAAAGTTTGTATTGGGAAGCAAGCTAGGGACGAAGCCGAGCGTAGCGAGGGTGAGTCGCTAGTATAAATATAAAGTATAATTCCGAACAATCTTAGTTATCTACTTAACAAGTTTTTGTGTAGTTTTTGAACTATTTTTCGCTAAATGTGTAATGAAGAATTATAATACTTTAAAAATATATTTATAATACTTTAAATATATATTCTTAATACCAGAGGTTATAAATAACGCCATAACTCATGGCATTTGTGAAGAGAGAATGCGATATAACTATAAGGATAAGTTAAATTAATATATTATGTTAAATCATAATACTAATTAGTTGTACTGTGGTCATGTAAGCATATTATGTTAATATTGCGACTTGACCTGAATATATGTAGGTTTATGTAATTACGCTCGTTGTCTGTTTGTTTTCATTTGTATTAATAATTATAATGAGTAGATAGTTAGTATAACATTTTAGCTACTTTGAGCCTTTTTTTAGTGAGTATACATATGTGCTAAAGTATACTATTTAAGAAAGATTAAAAACATTTTCAAATTTTGAAAAAAAAGCAGCCTTTTATTAGATTTTAAAATTTTACGTCTTTTCGCTTTATTGACATACAAAAATATATGAATTGAATTCGAATTAATTCATATAATTGAAATACACAGAACGAGCTCCCTATTGTAACGTATCCCACATACGAGTATGTACATACATAGGTATATTTCGCAGCAACCAACTAAATGAAAATACTTGATATTTAAATTCTCGCACGACAGCAAGTCATACTAGGTTTTGTACCTAGTATGACTATAGTAGCCGCTAATAAAATGCGATCATGTATAATTAACTGGTTAATTAAAAATTAACTAAGGTCAAATTAAACGCTTGCTTATACTAAATAATGGCTAATATATATATATATAACAAAGTCGGTTAGTTACACCATTAATAACTTAAGAACGGCTGGACCGATTTCTAAGATCTTTGATTTGTTAGATTTATCTCCACCCCGAATAGCATGATAATTAAAACATCGGAAAAATTCACAAAATTAAAAAAATATATATGGTCAACGCTAGATAATAACTATTTATATCTATTTAGGCTAGGGACGAACCCGAGCGAAGCGAGGGTGAGCCGCTACTTTTAAATAAAATTATCATATCGGGATTTTTCGCAGATTTAAAATCAAAATAAATCCAAAACGATAGTTTTATTTAAAATGTTCGTGTAAATCTAAGAAAGTATTATACTTCTTCAAATTCTTACCTTGCTGCGTCTTGACTTGCACGGGTGCGGATATAGGCCCGGGGCCCACCGACGTGAAGGCTTGCACGCGTATCGTGTAAACCGTGTGCGGGGTCAACTCACTGATCGTTGTTAGGTGGTTGTTATCCATCTGTTTAGAAGTAAATATATATATATATATATATATATATATATATATATATATTTATTATATTTCTTTCTAACTGTAATGTATGTATTCCGTAAATCCCAAAATGGTCAAATGACTTTAAAAGTTTTACTAGTTGAAGAGTTCCACTATCAACCTTTTAGCTTCACGTATAAATTACTTTATTACGTCAAGTAAACATAATTATTACTGTTTCATGAGTGTAGCATGGCAAAATTGTATGAGATATAATATAGTGCAGCAGGCATCTTTAAAATAATAACAAAAACGTGTGTGTGTACTTATGTACGCACGTAAGAAGTTATATTTCTTTGGCATAAAAGAACAAAAATAGCTAAAGATTTCATCCCGTATGTCACAACTCTCTGTTTGTAAAAGGAATGCAGCTAACTTCATCATGTCACTTTCAGCTAACTTCATCATGTCGCTTTTTGGTGTATTCATTTTATTCTCATATTTTTCTCCAAACGTGCCAAAAGAAGTATAACTTCAAAATATCATATGAAAATCTGCAGTTTTACGAGTACTTTATTTTAAAAAACACAGTGCACGTCTAAAATTTTAACAACATTCATGAGTTTACTTCATTAAAGTGTCAGCTGCTTTCTATCGACTTAAGTTCGTGTCGATTGTGGTAATCACCGCATGAGTATACCATGAATATACTTTGTCCTAATGAAGCTAGAAAATATTATAATATTTAATAATACATATAATTGTAGGTTTCGAACCTGCACTTTCCGACATAATAAACAGCTATACTATAGGAAATACATTGGTCAATACAGTTTTTCATAATAATTTACTAAATTTCTTGTTCGTCTTACGACAATACTTTATTATTGTAATAAAAATTGTAGTAAGTTAGAGACATTTCTAGATGATGACGCAAATTCCGTTATAACTTTGGATTCCTATGTAAAATTAAAAAAGGAAAAAATGTTTCATACAATTTTCTCATACGATAAATACATTATACAAGCTACCTCATTAAGAAGGATAATATATTATAATATCTCTAACGACTCGTTTGGCTCAGTTTGTAGTGACCCTAATTGCTGTACCAACGGTCGCGGATTCGAGTCTTGCTGGCGGCGTTCATTTGTGTGATGAGCACGAATGTTTGTACTCCAGTCATGGATGTTCATATTTATAATATGTACCTATGTATGTCTTTAAAGTTATGTATGTGTAGTGTATGAACTATCTGGTATCCATAAAACAAGTCTCGTAGCTTACCATGGAACTAGATAGTTCTGTGTGTTCATGCCCCAACATATTTATTATTATTTATTTACTATTTTATATAATACATACATACTACTATACTAGAATGTGTACAACGCTTATAACTTCAGCCTTTAATGACTTACCATTTGCGAATGCCAAGATTGTAAGCTTTGCGACGGATCTGAGGTGTAATAAATTTTGTATCCCTGAAACAAGTATAGTTTTATTTAATCTCAAATTAATTTGGACTATTTTAATTTTTAAATTAAAATTGTTTTTGTGAGTTGCCAACCTTTATCTTACTCTATATAGAGACTTAATTCAAGAGTAAAAAAAAAATAGAGCGTGCATAATTAACGCCCTGAAAGTATTCTATTTCTATGCCTAAAGAATACTGCTGTACCGGCACTGTCCGTTGTGTTCAGGGTCCGCTTTCACTGTATCACCAGGTGTTTGATAATGACGATCTCGAAAGTACCTAAGACTACGACGTCTGTGCCGGATTAAAAAGCGTAGCACCTAATATATTTGCAAAGAAATTAAAGAGACTGCTCCTTCAGCTTTCCTTTATTTTAGTTTACCAGAACCGCAAAAATGGGTATATTAGTTTGACCTTAAAACTTTAAATTTTTAATTAAATTTAGAAAATGTTATTGTGGAGGTCTGGGACTGTATTTCTTTGCCTTACCCTAAATCCGGATTTGGGTCTGTGGTTATCAAACACACGTAGTGCCTACACTCTATACATAATATGTACACTCACCGTCACTTGACCATTAGGTGTTTCAGGCTCATCCCATTGTATGACCATCGTGCTGGAGCTTAGTGGACGAACTTGGACGTTCCGAGGCGCTGACCCAGGTTCTAGGAAAAAAAACACTTATTTTTATTCTATAATATATTACAAATTATCTATGTTATCATACCTTGGCAAATATCAAATAATATTTCATTATATTTACTACAGTAATCATTTTAAAAACATAACCAAATGATCATTTCTTAATATGTTTTGCAATCAAAAACTCGAAGGTATAAAACTATGTTAGAAAGAATCTGCGGTAGGACATGGACAGCTGAGCCTTTGGCCCTTTTGCTCACCTAACGAAATGTAGAAATCGTTACTGTCACTTCATGAGTAAGTCAATATTCTATAACCGGTATTTGACACTATTATAATATTTAATAAATCTATACTAATATTATAAAGAGGTAAAGTTTGTGAGTTTGTGAGTTTGTGACGTTGTAGGGGGTAATCTCTGGATCTACTGAACCGATTTAGATGAAATTTGGTAAGGGGCTATCTCCTTTGAGACCCTGGAAAGGACATACGGTACCGAAGCGAGGGTGAGTCGCTAGTATTGTATAACATTACACGCATATCAAGTAAAACAAGTACTTTTAGAGAATGTATGAATATAACAAAAAATCTAAAGTCGGAAATATTATATATAACCTAATTGGCTTCGACGGCGCAACACCCAAGAGGTTGCAGCTTTCGTTCCAGCTGCGTTGGAATTTTCATATTGTACATTTACATTACAAGATAAATGTGAAATGAGTTCCACAATATTAAAGTTTTAGTAAGATTTTTATATTACTTTGAAAATTTTGAAAAATGCAATTGTTGGCTATAAAAATAAATGTATAAAGTGGGTATGTTTGTTTATTCATCCGATCGTAGTGAAACTTGAGGTTTATTTGTCACAGGATATTTGGTTCTTGAGCGAAATCGGGGCGGGTCACTAGTTTAAAAAATATTATAAAATATCTTAAAATACGCCATTCATATGTGATGGATTTGCAATGTTTACAAAAGCCTGAACAAACGTTGTTAGCAATCCATGTTGATTTTGAGCCGAGATGGTCTAGTGTTTATATTCGCGGAGACTAAACCAAGGATTACGAGTTTAAAGTTTGTCTTACAAATATGAGTTTAACTATGTGTAGAGCTGGATGGACCCGTTCTTATCTAAATATGTTTTAAGACACATGCAATTCGTTCTTGCGCAATCAAACAATGAGTGAGTTTGACGACACGTTTGGCTCAGTGTGTAATAACCCTACTTGCTGTGCCAGCGGTCGCGGGTTCGAGTCCCGCTGGAGGCATTCATTGTGTGATGAGCACGAATGTTTGTACTCCAGTCATGGGTGTTTATATTTATAATATGTATGTATTTAAAAGTTTATATATGTGTAGTGTATCAACTATCTGGTATCCATAACACAAGCCTCGTAGCTTACCATGGAACTAAATGGCGCTGTGTGTTAATGTCCCAACATATTATTATTATTATATTATAACTATGCTTGAGCATGATATATTTGAATGAATTTTTTTAAGCCTTGACGCAAAAACGACGGGGTGTTATAAGTTTGAGGTGTCTATGTGTGTCTGTCTGTGGTATCGTAGCTTCCTAAAGGATGAACCGATTTTGATTTTGTTTTTTTTTGGCTTGAAAGGTGAATTAGTCGGGAGTGATTGTTTGTTGTTTGAGTGTTTTTAGCTATGAAAATCGGTCCAAGATGGTCGGGGATTTTTAATTTTTTTATTTATACTTGTTACTATCTACGTTTATTTTCATCGATGATCTATACAACAATCGTGGATACTGGATAGTAATTTAATAACTAATGTTTATAGAAAATTATAAACAATTTGACATTATTTAAATTGAAAATTTATTAAAAGTTGTATTTGATATCCCATTACATGACGAAGAAATTACTTATGAAATACATACGCATATAGACTTATGCGACGAAACCTTTTCTTACCCTGAAATACACATAAGATCTTAAGAAGGCGATTAAAATAGGCTTCAAAGTTGACGAAGGCAAAACATGGATTCACGTTCTATTTTAGAAGTAGAGCATTGAAGAATAAAAATAGCAACACAAAAAAGAAAATTTTTCATCGGATCCGGTATTTCAATTACATGATGGTCTGAAATTTGATTCATTCTCCTTTATCAATGTCATGTTAAACAAGTATAATATATGTACATATAAATATTTAAATAAAGCTTTATCTAGCAAATTACAAATTGAGTTAATACTGCTGTTTTTGTATGTTCGGAAATTAAATTTAGTGACGCTTGAATTGTAGAGGACCATGTATGTGAACTTTAAAGCTTCGCATTGTTAGCATAATTACTAAAGTTTGCTTGTTATTTATTATAACAATCGAATAAAGGCATATTATATTATATAATTTATAAAACGATAGTACGTTGTATTAAATAGTTACGTTTAATAGGTACGTTGTAATAATAGAAGATGACACGCACACCTTGGGAATGAAATGATCGCCTCGAGGCTATTTCAACTTGATAGAAATATTGTAAATTATAATTTTACTTTAAAAAAAGATAACGAGTTAAAATTAGTCCCGCTGAGTTTCTTTCGCCAGTTCTTCTCAGGTCTGAGGCTTGTCCTTTCGAACTGGTAGTAGACTCATGACGTTCAGTAAAAAATTGTAATAATTTAATGCTGAATAAAATATTTTGAATTTGAAATAAAATAGCTGTCTAACTTAGAAGGTAAGTTCGCAGTTTTGTTTCTTTTAGACCCTAAAAGTCATCTTTAAGAAAATGAAAAATATATATCATATAGCGCTCAGAAATAATTCAGCTTCATATCGATATATAATAAGTTTTTGGAATATCATTAGCTGTTTCAGAGTTTAATCCGTAAATTTTAATTGAAAAACATACATATCTTTATAAAATCAACATTTATAACTTATATTTTTCACTCGAAAATTATACCTTAAAATTTAAAATGCACTTTGCAAATACGGTTAAAAAAGTTCCCTAGCTATAGGTACACTTCTTTACATATTTATTTAAAGATATATGCTCCTGAGGAAAATGGAATGGCAGCTCGTTATTACTAATTTGCGTAATATATTAGATTTCAGACACATTACAGCATAACTTAGTGCACTAACTACGCAAGATGTTAACGATTATCTAGGCATTTGCGTCGACATCTCGCTCGAGCTCACATGGCTTAATGAGGTATATTCAAACCACAAACATGTAAATATCAAGTCAAAATACGGGCAAACATTACTTCGACAAAGCCTGCTAATACCATGATTGGGTAAATGACTCTTCCAACAGTTCCTGATTATAAAATGAACTCAAAATATACTTTATTCAAATAGATACATTAAAATGAACGGCTCAGAAGTAAATACAGAATATATATATATATATATATATATATATATATATATACAATTAAGTTAAATGTCAGTCCCTTAAGCCACCGGCTCGGAGGGCAGATTAAGGGAGTCGGAGAGAAAATCAACAGTTGGTTGGTTGGTTTAAAAAATATATAATTTGCATAATCTCTTATGAGCGTCAATATGTTAAATGTAAACAGGCTTAGTATAGTAGTATCAGTCTGATCTCGATCTATGAGGTGGACCCCTCAATTATTTTCCAAGCGAAATGCGAAATATATTTTTTAAACCATAAAACATATTAACAAACACAACTCAGGGAGGTTGTCACCAAAAATTTGCTCCAGGCTACTTTAAAATTAAAAAAAACCTCTGGTCTGGAGATGTGATGTAATGTGGACTCGAAAAAGGCCGCCAACCGTATGATGACATTCGATTGATACTAACAATTAGTTATCACAGGTACTTTAAAAAAATCTATTAATTTTTTTAAATTAAAAATAGCCTGGAGCAAACTTTTGGTGGCAACCCCCCTGGGCCGTGTTTGTTAATATATTTTATTGCTTAAAAAATACATTTCGCCTAGAAAAAGAGTAAGGGATCCGGCACATAAAAAAATTGGTTTATCAGGACTTTTTGTAAATTTACCAAGCCGTCGTGGAGCATAAAGATATTTTTATTCTGCCTTTAAAGGTATTTATTACGTGGGCTTTATTTATATTTATTAGTTCATAAGTTTCAGACAATAGTGACCCTCGTTTTGTATGGGACGGCATATTTCGGCCAGCTCAAACTATAACTTTGGCCAATTGAAATTTTGTTATTTATTAAAGCCAAATAACCACCCTAATAATAAATAAATTTAATTACAATATTTACCGTGAAATTGTTATTCCCTTAATACAAACAAGGCTCAGATAGATAGACCGATACGCGAGTGATTCTACAATGTTTACGTTTTTTTAGGCAACTCTAAAAAAAAACAAAACAGATCTACAGACTATTTCCTTCTTTTCTTCTTTTTTACTTTTCCCAGAAAAAATAAAAATAGATAAATCAGAGAGAATGAGTAGAAAAACTAAAAATTAATAATAAATATTATATGAGAGAAATTGGTGACATGAGACCAACTTTTGTGCTAGTTATGTGTAGTGTATACCTTTATACATACATTTAAGTTCGAACCTCGCATTCGACATTTCCTACAAATGGACAATAACATGTCAGTCACTATAACGAATATATTATAAAAATGCCATAGTACTTACAGATCACGATAAAACACACAACAGTGTTTGTAATATCTCACAAAGTCTGTTAAAAAAGTTATGACATCATTTGTCATTTATTTCCAACATAAAAAGCAAACACGTAATAAAAATTCTATCCCCATAATTGAAATGGGGGCGAGCACAAATAAAATAACCATCGGTTTATGTAGCGCTCATTGTTCAATATTTGGTTGGGAATTTAAAAGGCAGTTATTATAATCACAATAATGCTCGAACATGGCAATATCGTATTAAGTCAGGTCCGTTTCGTCTCAATTAAAATATTATTAAATACGTAGAAGAGAACACAGCAGCAATGAAATATAAAGGAAACTGAGTTCTTAAAAAGTATTTGTAATCGTGTCTTGACAAGAAGGACGGTGCGTCATTCGAAGATGTTCGATGTTTATAATACTTAGCAGCGAAACAATAAAAGTTGGAAAGCGGTGTAATATTAAATCGCCATAATCTCGTTGAGACCAGGGCTCGGGTCGACTCAGAACTTTCTTTTATTAGAAACATAAAGTAAATTTAAGAGAAAAAAAGCATTGGGTACAATTTTATTGGCCTTTAGCGACGTTTTCATTACCATCTCATCAGACGCCATTTTTATTATGTCTGTCTTGTGACACCGCGAATAATTGATGTCTAATATAATATAACGTTACTAAATTGAATTTAATAGCATTAAGTGAGAAATAGGCGTATTGTATGTGTAATCAAGACTAATATTATAAATGTGAACGTTTGTGAGTATGGATGTTTGTTACTCTTTTACATCATAACGGCTTAATGGATCTTGATGAAATTTGCCACTGAGAAAGATTATAGTCTGGAATAACACATAGGCTACTTATTATCCCGAAAAATATACGGTTCCCGAGGGATGAATTGTTTTTGTGTTTCTGTAATCTTATATTGATTGGAAAATTAAACGAAGCTATTTTCTTTACGTTGAAGTATATTCATTATTTGAACTTTTAAATAATAAATACACTGTTATCATTACTTAAATGTAGGCGTATACCATATGTATTTAGGTTAAAACATTGCAAATTATTTGCTGATAATATGATAGAAAAACATACATACATGTAATGTCTCTTGAGCTATAAAGAGATAAAATTTATTTGCAGATTGATATTATGAGAATAATATTTGATTTACTGGTCTAAAAAATATGATCGATTTATACAAGCTGTAGGTAAAACATAACTTGAACTTCTATTAGAGATATAACTTTCGAAATGGACTTAATATAATTATAATATAAATATTTACTTCTTTGGCGCGTAGCTCAAGTTTAGGAATAATTTCTATCGGTTTATGAACTGCTGATATTGATCTGTTTTAGTTTCTGCCCGAGAAGTCCAAAAGTATCTAAGTTTGAATATTGTAAGTTGTAATGTTTACTTCAAAACTCTAACTAAGGGCACCTTAATGTCTTTAACTTAGATGATTATAGTAAATTTATAAAACTTATATGATTAAATTTAAAATATGAGTTAAAAAAATATTTGACTTATATAACTAGCGACTCACCCTCGCGCATCCCCAAGTACATTTTAACGGTTAGTAAAGTAAAGTAATAAAGATTTCTCAAATAGATATTTTCTCGCAGTAAAAAGTATCCTATAAGTTGACTCGGATAATAAGCTATATACCAAATTTCATCAAAATCTGTCCAGTGGTTTTCTCGTGATGCATTCCCAGACAGACAGACACAAAAAAAACTTAAACTGTAGATTCGGCATCTATATCGATAATAATGAATATTAAGATTTTACAAAAAATATTTAATGTACAGATTCGCCTGAGTTAGAATTTCATTATACCTATGTATAGAATAGATTTAACTGACATAATTCAACTTAATATTTTAAAACAAATATTTTAAGAGTTATTATTTCGCTAGCTTCTATTTTATCTACAGTTTTTCGGAATAATATTTGATATTATCGGTGTTCCCGGTGGGACTGAGCAATACTGCCATGAAATTGACAAAGAGAAAAAGCGAACGTGCGGTAAATACTCGTCTTTTATTCCAATTTGAATTTATAAATTTAATGAGAAAAATTATAATATTATAATGGATAGTTTAATGCTTATAAATAACTAACTTCATTAATCGTATTTAAATTATAGCAGAAGACTTCTGGCCGCACATTCTTTTTGTCTCTGTCGCGCCTTTACGCCATTTTTAGCATACGGCTGGCGAAGAAACTGTTTACACTCTATGTATATGTTGATACCAAAGCCGTATGTATGGCTTTGTCCGATTATCTGTCCTTGTCATAGATTGACAACTATCGTTCTGGTGTACTTTTTTGTTCAATCTATGACAAGGACAGATAATCGGACAAAGCCGTATGTGAGAAAGAGATAAAATACTTTCCAGAGATAATCGACGTTACTAGAATATTATCTACTGAGATAATTAATATATAATCTTTCTTCTTATTTGAAATAATTGACCAAGCAGTTTTAAATTAACAAGATGTAATACAATATTAGACGTCAATTTTGATTCTAAGCAAAGCCTTACGTTACTAATGATAGGTACAATAAAATTTTACTAGATCGATTTCCAGACAATGTAAATATTAAAAGTTATTATTATTATATATTTCTTAGAAACGATTAAATTTCTGTGGCTTTGCTGTTGCTATTTTATGCATTACTTTTTTATAACTTACTTGAAATGGATATTTTAATTTTTACAAACTATAATTATTGTGAAGCTAAAACATAGAAAAATAACTAATTCTCTTGTTAATGGCTTCGAAGCGTGTCAGTTGAGTTCAGATTACTTCGCCAATGTCACGTGGAATGGAGAAGAATCGAGGAAGATTAGTAACTCAAGCATGTTGATACAAAGTTATGTGTTGAATGCTAATTTTTTATCGAGTTTCGCTCCTATGTAGGGGTTAATCCAAGAACAAAATCATAAGATCTCCGAGATCATAGAGAATTTTACTTAATCCCTTTGAGTCGTTCCTACAGCTTAAAAAATAACAAATAAACACCAACTCATCATCAAGCTCTCGTATTTTTGAAGTGTCATTGCCATACCAGTGTTAGAGTACAAAACTTATTAATGAAAATAGCATTCTTTTTCTTGTATTTTATAAAAAAATACCTGTATAAAGTCATAATCGACTAAACTCTTAACCTATTTACCCTTATAAAAAATACTATCACATAATCACAAAAGTAATATTATATTTTACTTACTAGCACCTCCATAAAGAGAATCCACTGCAAGCAAAAGACAAATATTAGTTCAAAGGAAACCAAAACAACACACATAAAACACTCATCACACGGTGCTTTAGCAGAAACGGACGAGACGTGTATCTGTAAGGTATTTAGAAGGGATTGGTGCATGAATAGAGAAATAAAAAAAAATGCGCACTACAACTTAAATCTATGTAAAACAAAAGAAAATCAAATGTGCAAAACAAAACGAAACCCATCAATAAAATACAAAATTAACTTACACAAAGCGGCGACGAGCGTTGTAACGCGCGATACGTTCGCATGAAAATATCAAAACAACCTTAGAACAGAACGACTAAAACAAAACCTACTATACATACATACATACATACCGAATCGAATAAACAAAAAGTGTTGAAATCTCAAGCGAACAATCAAATGTAATGAAGCAAATGATAGATGTTATGGTATGATTAAGTATTAAAGTTAAAAGAGTATCCCAAAGTTTTGCGTAAAGCAAGTTTTATATAGTTTTCATTTAATTTCAAAATATTAATTTACTTATTTTATGTTTCAATTGAGAGGTAGACTTAATAAATTTCGATGTTGTCACATAGTTCGTAAGAACCAGCCATTAAGTAATTACTCAGAGGAGGTCCTCCTAAAAATGTATATACAATATTTCTGCCTCTGAAAAGTTTTGAAGAAGAACATTTTAAAACAAAAATTAGTATAGTAATAAACCATGCTATATAAGAAAGAACAAAAATAATACAAGTTTACCAAACAAAAAAAAATACCAGTTTCTCCTGTAGTTATGACGGCTGGCGCGGAAGGCGGTCCCCTACCAATGTTGTTGACAGCTATCACGTACATTTCATACTCTGTGTACGGCGATAGGTTCGTCACTGAGTAGTACTGCGTTATAACACCCGATATCTCGCTGAATGCCTGTGTGATATTGAAAAAGTTCATGAGAACAAACTCCTAAGTTAAATAAGTCTTATATAATGGCGTACAGATATTAATCTAATATATAAATCTCGCGTCACGGTACTTGCGGTCGTACTCCTCGAAATGATTTTTTCTTGTATATTTGGTAGGGACGAGAATAGATCCTAAAGTATTTTTTCACCCTCCTACCCCCACCCCCCATTTTTATCACGATTTTAGTTTTTTTGTATGAGCAATATTGTGATTAAAAATATTTCAAAGCTTATAAAGTAATTGCAAATCTGTACTAATATAATGTTATAAATACATAGCTAAGTGTGTTTGTTGATCTAATTTAGTCAATCTTTCTTCTATTTTTCACAGTTACGGTTTGCATATTTTTTTATTTAGCTTATGAGACGAAGTGTGTCATAGATTCAAATAATTTCAACGGGATTTTAGTATTTTAAATAAAACTATTTTATCGGGATTTTTTTGCGGATTTATTGTGACATTTGGTTCCCGACATTTCGAAAAACGGGAGAGACACAGATATTTAAAATTGTTTTATTTAAAATGTCGAATATTAGATATAATTGCGTAACTCAAATGTATATATACTCTAGTACTTACCTGGTTGGCATATTTAGGTTTGTACTGGATGACATAATACTGGGGCTCCTCAGGGCCGGTATACGTCCAAGCTAATCTCACTGTGGTGGCCGTTATTTCTGACGCCCGCACTTCACTCGGCGGTCCAGGCAGAGCTGAATCAAAAGATTTCTCGTTTAAAATTTTTACAATGTTTGAATAAATAATGACGGATTATAAATTCAAATGTCTCGGGCTAATGGAGCGTATTTTGTTTATTAACATTTAGAATTTCGTTAAATATGACACGATGTCGAATACAAAACTCATTAATTATTAATATTCGTGTATTAGCCGGACGCTGTTTAGTTGAACGTAAACAAGTTGTTAATTTATAATATACAAACCAAAAGTTTATTAAAAAGCTTTAAACTAAAAACGCGCGACCCAAAGCTTGAACAACAGAAAGCTCAGAATTAAATCCCTTTTGAATAATATCGAGAAAATGGGCAGAGTAACTATAATTAATCATTAATCAAGCTGACATTCGTTTGTCTCTAGGGCTTCGCACAACTTCGAAGGGCCTTTCAATTATGAATTATAACACTAACTCATAATAGATGTCTGCAACTTGCCGCAATTTATCAAATTAATTTCAACAAATCCTAAGCGCGATTAGATACTGATATGACCACTGGTGCTCAACTAAAGTTTAACAAATAGTATTGACTAACTTACTATCATTTTATATCGCTTTATTGGTCCCAATCTATCGAAATTATAATGTAATTCTAGACCAGACTATTTCAAACTATACTACTCAACAATTTAAAGGAGTGTTTTATTTTAATAAAATTCGTATGAATTTGGGTAAATCATTAAAACATTTTCTACCTGTCACTCTTATACATAAATCGCGTTAGTTAAACGCAAATTTTTAAGCCTTTGTTTTAAATTGCTTATCAGGCCAAGCATTTACTGTGATTTAAATAATAAAATCAACGATCTATCCTGCTTTGCGTCGGCTCGAGTTTTACCCTAAAGTTATTATCATAAATTAGCATCATTTATTCTTAGAAATTATGAGAGTAATTTGGTTTACTCACTCATCTTTTGCCGACTTCATAGCAGCCAATAAAGCGATCATTTTGAGCATTAAATGCTTTGAATAGGGTCAACTATTTGTTATATTCTGAAGAGATCGCTGTACGTGGGTGGAGTCATTCATATCTTAAATTGAACGAACTTATAAAAGGCTTTATATTAATATTTTCCATGTTTTTACGATTGAAAATGAATTAATGGCGATCATAATTTACAGAATACGTTCATAATACTAGTATAGATACATAGAATATGCTAATTGCTATGATAGAAAACTGAATAGTTAACTATCTATTGCAAATTATTATTATACAATAAATATTCAATTACATATATAACATAATTACTGAATTACGGTAAATACTAAAAATACATACATATTTCTATAAAGATTACAAACACTATGCATTATACCCCACTTTGTGTGGAAGCACGCAGAACTTAATTTATCTACATTTGTATGAATTTCAGACTAATAGCCAAAATAAGTTAAATTAGAAGATGTTCTAGTCTTGCGTTATCACGTAACAAAAAGACAAAACTTAAAAAAAATGGAATTTGCTTCCTTAGCTACCGAAACATGTAACAAAAAGAATTGTACAATGCTTTAATTAAAATTTCAAAATGTTATTACGTGTACACTTTAAATATAAAATATGTATATAAAAATATTTATTACATATTGCAAAAAATTACGAACCAATCAACAACTTAATTACATAATATAGGTACCCAATGTTCTACATTCTGTTTACTTAAATAAATTGCGGCGTACAAGTCTGTAATAAATAAAGTGAATACGTCAACAATGCCTCGGGCAATTATCGAGATTCGATAAAATATTAATAAACAATAAACCCCAATTAAGGTTTCATATTTTAATGAGATATTGTAAAACAGCGAACGTGAATATAATACTCCCTTTCACCTTTGTATTTGGACGCCTTAGAAAAGGCAGTATAACAGTTTTTAGAAAGAAATTGTTCTTATAAATAGGGAGATTCTTACTAAATTATCATTAAAGCTAATGAACTTTATAAAACATATGTCGTTTACATATATTAAGATATATGTACGTAAAATAATATACAAATAATATGTAAACTATTCGATCCAATAAATATAAAAGTCTTCAATTTAGATTATGTTACTATAAAACCTATTCAAAATACTTAGAACCGTTTTGATATTTACGCTATAAGTACTTCCAAAACGAACAATTTCTAAAAGATATCCACAAGGAATTTCATTGAAAAAAAAACAACACATTCGGTCGTATCGCTGAGAAATTTTCAATAAGACGAAGCACAATACTCACATTGTACTTTAACTTCGGCCGTCGTCTCGATAACGCCGAGCACGCTAGCTGCTTCGCACGTGTAGTTTGCGGATTCCCTTATATCCTCCAGTTTCAGTGCGTTTAGTCCCAGAGGCGTATTGTCTTCGGGTGTCAGCCATTTTGTTAAACCTAGATACATTTTATTTTATGTTATGTCTATTTATATATAAAATAATACAATTTGCAATTTTCTTTTTAATAGTACCGTTAATAGCCTGAGATCCCGATCTATGTGGTGGACCCCTCACTCTTTTTCCAAGCGAAATATATTTTTTAAACCATAAAATATATTAACATACACTAGGGTGGTTGTCATCAACTTGCCCCGGATATTTTTTATTAAAAAATATCTAATCTGGAGATGTTCTGGTATAACAATCCTATATTGTTAAAAAATATATTTCGCCTGCATAAAGAATGAGAGGGGGGGGGGGAGGGTTCTCACCACATAGATCGGGATCTCCGACTAAAAAGAATGTTTTGTTTTTTTTCTTTTAACTCGAAATGAGATAAAAGAAAATATTTAATAATTATTGTTTAACATCTTTCTGATAAATAGTTCTAGTATAGTATATCTTAGATAAGTAGTTTATAGTAGTAACATGGTTATGAAAAATCGAAAACATATAAAGTGTAACGTATGAAAGTGTAATGTAAAGTAAAATAAAACATTTTATTTTACATTACTATTAAAAAATTATAATTTAAATTCAATAAAGATCAATTAATTAGTTTTTATTTCATTAGAACAGTATTAAAAACACTTAAGGTTACCTTTTCGCCATTTTACAGTGGGCATCGGGGATCCAAAGGCCACACATTTGAGGGTGAGGTTGCCGCCTAGCATCACCTCAGTGCGCGGGGGCGGCGGGATCGAGAACTGGGGCGCCACTCTTCGTACTGCGGGCAAAGTTCATGTAAGTACTTGACTTTATAGTTATTTTGTCAGTAGATATGGACATAAAATTATTATTGCAAGCAATATGTATGCCTAAATAGAAGTTATGTTGACATTTATAAACTTTCATTTTATAAATAAAGTTTTAAATATATTATTTAAGAACGACTCATTCGTTATTACTACTGGAACTTGCCGTTTTATTTCTCTTATTAGACGTCATAACTTTCTTGAGGTTTATATAGAACTATAAAATACCAAGCTTCGCTGCTAACCAATACCAGTATTTGTACGTTTTTTAAATATTTCAATTTATATGAAGGACTTTGAAATCATTTATTTTTTAAATGCATCATTTGGCATTAGTCTTAAGACTTAAATGAAGATATATTATATAATAAAGCAAGATTTACAGTTACAAGTTCTCGTTAAACATGCAAATATTCGGGCCAATTTAGCCAGCTACATGTCGCACTCCCGGCGCATTCATCCGTCAAAGCTTAAGCTACAAGGAATTAAATATTACGGAATAGTTGTATTAAAACTCTTTGATTTAGGCTAATTTTTATAAGCAACTAGCAACTCACCCTCGCTTCGCTCGGGTTTGTCGCTAAATAGATATAAATAGATACTAGCCAGCGTTAGCCATATACATTTTAATGTTTTTTGTTAATAATATTGACAAATATTAACATTAATATTTATACGATACTAACGTCACTCAATTGTTTGCTTTCCCGGAACCTCTCCACTAACACTTAAATTTTATGGCATGGTATTAAAGTTCAAATTGACTTTTAAGTATTATTACGAATCTTTTGTATGGGAGTATAGAAAAGTTTAGTTTTTAGACTTTTTCAGGCAATTTTTTAAATTTTTCTCTCTGTAACCAACCTCGTACTTCAAGGAATATTCTAAAAAAAGAATTAGCGAAATCGGTTTAGCTGCTCTCGAGATTTGCGCTTACCAACACATTCAGCGATTCATTTTTATATTATACTAGCGGACCCGACAGACGTTGTCCTGTCTACACGTCTTTAATTTTAAAATTTCAAACTTTTTTTAATAATTTTTTTGATGAAAATTATTATTCAAATTGTGAATCTAAACTATTCTCAGATCCCCTTGAACACACACAAAAAATTTCATCAAAATCGGTCCAGTCGTTTGAGAGAAGTTCAGTGACATACACACTCACAGAAGAATTATATATATAAAGATAAAAGATATGTCAAATTAGTGTACTTTAAGAATCACATAATTATTATGAAATTAAAATTTCAAGACGTTCTAAAGTCAAATATTAGAGGATAAGTCAAAGCAACTGAATAATGAATATTAAATGTTTAGATACATCTCCAATTTATTTATACAAAAAATACAAAATTTGATTTAAATTAAGGCGATTAGTTTGTCAAATGTCTTATACGTTTAAATACTTAGAAAATAGAAGTACATTAATATTATAAAAAAAATGGATGATTTTATTCTTTATCATGTTCTTTTTAATATAAGTACATTAAAAAGCTCTAAAAATATTATACCTATACAAAATTCAACGTTTATTCCAAGTTACTGTTAGCATCATTATGTAAAAAAGACTTAAGTTTGTCGCTATATATCACAACTCTCCCGCAATATAACACTCGCACTGTCCGCCCAAACACGTAAGGGTTATTTTTAACACCTGAATCTCTTAAGCTTCAAGATTGTAAGTTTTATCTTTCGACGTGCTCTGAATATACCGTATGCTCTCAACTTTAGTCAGCTCTAAGTTTATAACTTTATAATTTAGTGTTGACTTTAGATCAAATTACTTTTTAAATAACACATCACAATTCTAGTTAAAATATTTTTCTATAAATGGAACATTCTTTCATCTATACTAATATTATAATATTATAAAAAGGTAAAGTTTGTGAGTTTGTGACGTTGTAGAGGGTAATCTCTGGATCTACTGAACCGATGTATATGAAATTCGGTTAGAAGATAGTTTATGACCCTGGGAAGGACAGAGGATAGTTTTTATTTTAGGGATGAAAGTTTGAATAGGGTAGCAATCCAATAAAAATAGCTTTATATTCCCAAATTGTATTAAAGAAGGAAAACACAATTATAAAGCAATCAGCCTTTAGTTTATTAACGATGACCAAATTTTAATTCTCACACGCAATCTTTATGGTCTTATATAGGTCACAATTATATACGTATGTCAGGCAAGAACATTTTTGCATATGTATGTTTCTGAGATATCTTTAAACACAATATAGCAAAAGAATGCAATAATTCAATCAGCACGAAGACAAGGAAACGGGTGTAGAAATGTGGATGTAATTACCATTTATTATTACGTAACTCGCTGCACTCCGGAGCCTACTTTGTAAACGCCACAAAATAAGAAAAGATAAAGGTGGAAAAACATTTACTCGCCGCCCATTATGTTAATTACAGTCACGAGCCCTCATTGTCGTGCTTGTTATATGCAAACAATTTAGACCCCTATCAAAAAGGAATTAGGCACAAATTGGTTTGCTAACAAACACACTCGTTTCGTGTTACGTTAAAAATGTAGGTAGGTGGTAATTTAAAGCCTCACCGGACCGTGTGAAACAGAATCGCATGTTGCAAAGATATTTTGGGATGTCACTACACTTTAGAATAAAAAAGCGCGAATAAGCGCACGTATAGCATCATATAATAAATTCGAGGACTTGTCTTAAGATGTGTCTGTGCATATTATAGGTAAGTAATAGGTATAACAATAAGATCCCCTTGACCGATTTCAGCCACGGTGATCTACATTTCGTACAGAGGCTATTTATTTATGCAGGAGATATAGATATTGAACGTATATAGGTACCTATGTGCAAATAGAAATGCACTCATTATTTTATACGATGAGATCAGGTAGGACTAATGGTTTTAGGCCTCGGTGCTGTCCGAGATATGGGGGTGCTACACCGCCAAGTTCCCATCTCTGTTTTGCTATTAAAAATTCCTTAATAGCTATATAACTCAACCCTAGAATCTAATTCAGGTACTTCCGGTCAAAAGTTGTATTCAAAAATCTTCTTCTTTATCAAATAAGCATCTAAGTGAATTAAACTTCAAACTTCAGTAAAAATTCTGACTTTTTAAGCAAATTGAACTATAAGGGACAGTGTAAACTATTTACTAAATTAAACTGAAGTATCAGTTGCTGCGTCCAAATAATCACAAAAAGCTTTTTTGAAAGCTCAATTATGTGGTGATAAAGTCTACGTAACATCATATAACTAAGTAGCCATATAGTCATAGTAACATACTAAAAACGAGCTTTTTTCTTTTCGTTTAATGAGCACATATTGAAGTAATTAAGTTATTTGATTTTTAATGTAAAAGCTTGGTGATGGCGGTGGAGTGATTTTTGATAAAATTAGTTTGTTTTAATTTTATAACAAATCGTTCTTATATTTACACCATCGTTTTGAGGAGAATTATTCTTTTATACAAACGTTTCCGGCGCGTTCCGCTACTTTGTTTTCGCTTTTAATTAAAATGAGTCCAGACGAGAAATGTTCCGGAGATGCCATTTTCCGTATTAAAAGCGGAATAATTAGGGCCGGTGCAATTGTTTTTTTTTTCGTAGATTATTTTATGGGACTCGTGACAGTGAAAAAGACTGTTCTTCAAGGAATAAAAATACTTTATATCTGTCACTATGACACTTTTTGAGACATAAAAGTATAATATATAATTTCGTTTTTTACAAGGTATGAATGAGCCGCCGTCTATGTTGTATGATACTTAAAGAATATTATACACTTTTAATATAAAATTTTATTTAATAAAATTTTACCACGATTCAAATATTTATAACAAATTAGGGACTCACACTCGCTCCGCTCGGGTTGATTTCTTAGAGATGAGATGTTTTCCCACAAAAGTATCCTATATGTTGACCCGGATAACCAGTTATCATCATACCAAATTTCATCAAAATCTGCCCAATAGCGTACCCACACAGACAGACAGACATTTTTTTTAAAAACTATCGATTCGGCCCTGTATCGATAATAAATAATAATGACTATTTCAATAAGATTTTCCAAAATGTATTTAATGTACAGATTCGACTCAGAATTTTATTATATGTATAGATAGATGATAAGTGCATTCTTAGAGAAAATTTTAAAGAGTAAAAACAAAGGAAACACTTGCACCGTAGGATCTCAAGAAGAATATCAGAGCAAAGTCGTATTGCTATCTCTTTGTATCGTAGTTATATAAATGAATAAATAACAGAAGTCAGTCTTCGACTCGGCCGGGTTCCAGTGAAATGCAAACAGTTTTACCTTAAATAAACTTTCCTCAAGAGGGCAAATATTAGTAAATCTGGGTAATTCTGAGCCGAGGGTAGTTATTACGTTAATTAGATATAGCTTCGGGCGAGAATGTTTAAAGTTTCAGAAACATTTTGCCAACACTAAAGTAAATTATATATTATTGCTTTGTGATGTTACATTTGATTTTATGAATTCGTGAAATACACGTGGCGTCTCTCAAATTACGCACGGGCCAAGTAAACAGCAACAAAACACAGAGCAACGGTTTAATAATAATTAATTAATTCGTCAGACCGTTCGTGCTCGCCTAATTATTTGATACTCCATAACCTTTTTTAGGGGCACCGAAATATATTAAAATATTTTATTTAATAACTCTAATATTAATATACCTACCTACCTTTGTTTTTATTAGTACATTTTAGTGCCTACAGTATTTTTATATTGAACACTCTATAATAAAGAAATCGTACGACGAGTTAATATAACCATAATATTTCCACAAAAAACTGTTTCATACTTTATTAACCCGATCTTCCTTGGTTTCATAAATCCGTATACCCTTTTATATTCGTACGCCTTCCGTATTTTATTCATATTTAGTAGCGAGAAATTCGTGTTTAGGCCGTGCCTGAAATGGTAATAAGATAACACAAGAGATAATACCTGCTTACTGC